ACTTCGAAAATCTGTATTCCACAAAAATTGAAAATTCAAAGGAAATGGACAAGTTTCTGGATAACTATCACTTACCAAAATTAAATCAAGAACAGACAAACAACTTAAATAGACCTATAACCCGAAATGAAATAGAAGCAGTCATCGAAAGCCTTCCAACGAAAAAAAGTCCAGGGCCAGATGGATTCAGTGCAGAATTCTACCAGACATTCAAGGAAGAACTAATACCACTACTCCTCAAACTGTTCCACAAGATAGAAACAGAAGGTTTATTGCCAATCTCTTTTTATGAGGCCACAATAACTTTGGTACCCAAACCTCACAAAGACACAACTAAGAAAGAAAACTACAGACCAATATCCCTGATGAACATCGATGCAAAAATACTCAATAAAATAATGGCAAACCGAATTCAAAAATACATCAGAGAAATCATCCACCATGATCAAGTAGGCTTCATACCTGGATTGCAGGGATGGTTTAACATACGAAAATCTATCAACGTGATCCACCATATAAACAAACTGAAAAAGAAAAACCATATGATTATCTCCCTAGATGCAGAAAAAGCCTTTGATAAAATTCAACACCCTTTCATGATAAAGGTATTAGAGAGGTCAGGGATAACAGGAACATACCTAAACATAATAAGAGCAATATACAGCAAACCAACTGCCAACATCAAACTGAATGGAGAGAAACTTAAGCCAATTCCTCTAAAATCAGGAACAAGACAAGGCTGCCCTCTCTCTCCATATCTCTTCAATATCGTACTAGAAGTTCTAGCTAATGCTATAAGACAACAAAAGGAGATCAAGGGCATCCAAATTGGAAAGGAAGAAGTCAAACTGTCTCTATTTGCAGATGATATGATAGTTTACATAAGCGACCCAATAAACTCTACCAGGGAACTCCTACAGCTGATAAACACATTCAGCAAACTAGCAGGATACAAGATAAACTCAAAAAAATCAGTAGCCCTATTTTTTTCAGACGACAAAGAGGCAGAGAAAGAAATCAGAGAAACATCACCCTTTACAATAGCCACAAGCAACATAAAGTATCTTGGTGTAACGCTTACCAAACAAGTAAAAGATCTATATAATAAGAACTTTGTGACTCTAAAGAAAGAAATTAAAGAAGATACCAGAAAATGGAAAGACCTCCCATGCTCTTGGATAGGTAGGATAAACATAGTAAAAATGGCAATCTTACCAAAAGCAATCTACAGATTCAATGCAATCCCCATTAAAATCCCACCACAATTCTTCACCGACCTTGAAAGGATAATAATTAACTTTATATGGAAAAACAAAAGACCCAGGATAGCCAAAACAACCCTATACAATAAAAGAACATCAGGAGGCATCACCATTCCTGACTTTAAGCTCTACTACAGAGCTATAGTTCTGAAAACAGCCTGGTATTGGCATAAAAATAGACAGGTAGACCAATGGAATCGAATTGAAAATCCTGATATTAATCCACGCACCTATGAACACCTGATTTTCGACAAAACAGCTAAAATTATACAATGGGGCAAAGACAGCATCTTCAACAAATGGTGCTGGCACAATTGGATGAGGGTGTGTAGAAGACTGCAGATAGACCCATGTCTGTCGCCATGCACAAAACTCAAGTCCAAATGGATCAAAGACCTCAACATCAATCCAGCCACATTGAACCTCTTAGAAGAGAAAGTAGGAGGTACCCTTGAACAAATTGGTATAGGAGACCGCTTCTTGAACATAACTCCAGGGGCACAGACACTGAAAGAAACAATTAATAAATGGGACCTCTTCAAACTTAGAAGCTTCTGTAAGGCAAAGGACACAGTTGACAAGACCAAACGGCAGCCCACTGACTGGGAAAAGATTTTCACTAATCCTATATCCGACAAAGGGCTGATCTCCAAAATATACAAAGAACTCAAGAAACTAGTCAACAAAACACCAAATAACCCTATTAAAAAATGGGGTACAGAACTGAAGAAAGAATTCTCAATGGAGGAAATCAAAAAGGCTGAAAGACACTTAAGAAAATGCTCCACATCCTTAGCTATCAGGGAAATGCAAATCAAAACAACTTTGAGATACCATCTTACCCCTGCCAGAATGGCTAAAATTAGAAACACCAGTGATGACTTATGTTGGAGAGGATGTGGAGAAAGTGGAACACTCCTCCACTGCTGGTGGGAGTGCAAACTCATACAGCCACTTTGGAGATCAGTATGGCGGTTCCTCAGGAAAATGGGAATTAGTTTACCACAGGACCCGGCAATCCCCCCTCTTAGGCATATACCCAAAGGATTCACATCAATGCAACAAAGACATCTGTTCAACTATGTTCATAGCAGCACTATTTGTAATAGCAAGAACCTGGAAGCAACCTAGATGCCCTTCAATTGAAGAATGGTTAATCAAGATGTGGCACATCTACACAATGGAATACTACTCTGCAGAAAAAAATAATGGTATCTTGAAATTCGCAGGCAAGTGGATGGCACTTGAAGAAACCATCCTGAATGAGGTAACCCAGTCACAAAAAGAGGAACACAGTATGTACTCACTCATATATGGATTTTAGACCTAGATCAAATGATCACCAGCCTATAATTCACATCACCAGAGGAACTAGGATACAAGTTGTATTCTAAGAGATTCATATAAAGTCCCTCACAGAACTGGGAAGGGACAAGTCCCCCAGACCTCAGGTATAGTGGGGGAGGACAGCTAATGGAGAGAGAAGTAGGAGAAAATGAGAGGGAGGAGAGGAAGGCATGTGTGACTAGGAGGATTGAGCCTGGTTAGGAATGGAAAATAGGAAAGAGAGAGAGAGACAGAGACAGAGAGAGAGAACATAAAAGAGGGAGCCAATATTGGTTTGAAGATAAAGTTGAACACAAAGAAAGGTCGAGGGAACTACAAGACTGCTCCCAACTAACAATCTCAGCTTCCGTGGAAAGGCTATCATAAATGCCCTTCCCGGAGAGTGAGATCAACAACTAACTTCTCCATGGAGTCCTCAACTAATGCTTGTTGAAAACAGGAGCAAACACCCATACATAAACACTGAGTCAAACTAGAACCCAGAAGCAGATGGAGAGGACAAGCCCATGCGGTAGAAGTACATAGAGACAGCTTACCTGAACAAGGAGGAGCTAAGGGCCACTAGACTGATAGCTGGGAAGCCAACAGGGGTCTGACTCGGACTCCCCTGAATATGGGTCTCAGCCAGAAGGTCTGAGCAGTCTAAGAGACCTCAGACAGTGGAGCCAGGATGTATCCCTGGTGCACAAAAGGACTTTGCAAACATATCCCCCATGGAGGGATAACTGCCTTATTCTAGAGATAGGAGAGAAGCCCTAGTCCCTACTTCACAGGACCTGTCAGATCTACATGACCCCAACTGGATGGCATTCCCCTACATATTGTATTGTGGTGGGGGGTTGGGAGGGGAGGGTGTTTAGAGTGCATGGGAGAGGGTAGAGAGGGCAAAAGGGAGGGAAGGAGGGAGGGAGGGCTTGGGGGGAGGGAGGGAGGGAGGGAGAGGGAACTGGGATCGACATGTAAAATAATAATAATAAAAAAAAATAAATAAATAAAAAACGCTTTGACTCCAAAATTTAAGTTGAAGAACAAGTTACTGGGGAAAAGTATTTCTATTTTTGTTTCCACAGAAAATGAAAAGATGTGGATTCCTTCCAGACTAATGTGGTTTGATCACACCAGACCGCCTGAAACAGAGTACAAGCTGATCCTACATTCCAAACAGCTGGACAAAACAGCCCTACAGACTACAGCTAGGATATCTGAATCTTCTTCGAATCCCCCAAGACAGCGCCCCTTACCAGCAGGAAGTAGTTTGGAAAGAACGACGCCCAAATTCCCAAATATTGTGTATAAATGTTTGTTTTCATTTAATTGGACTTTGTTATATAAAATTAAATAAAAAATACTCTATATGCAAAAAAAAAAAAAAAAAAAGAAAAAAATGTATTTACAGAACCCTGCTAATCTGGCCTCAAAAGAATAGGTATTTTATATTGATTATGTGTGTACATAATACACAAGAGTTACAAATTAAGATATGTTCAAAATACCCAGTGTTTATCCCTGTGTAAGGATGGCTGGAAGACTTTTTATCCTTAAATTTATGCTATCTTGTTTTTCACACTTCCTTCCATTATCATGAATTACTCATGTAACTATTAAAAACCCAGTAAATTAGACACCAGTACACAAACAAATATATGGCCACAAACATAAGAGCAGCCCTAAACAGGGTTATGCAAAGTAACAAGGCTTGAGTACCCTGCATCAGGGACGTAAGTCCGAAGAGAAGATTAAGATTCAGTACAGAAAATGCTAGTAAGTTTCCATAACAGCACAGGCAGCCCACAGAGTTCTAGTAAAAGTGCAACCTATAACTGTGTGTGTAGTTTCTCATTTAGTTCCCTCTCTGATTATGTCCTTCCTCGCCGCTTCCTTACTCCATCCACTTAGTGTTCCTGTGGATCAGTGGTCCTCGGCCTGGGTGGTTTTGCTCCCTAAAAGGCATTTGGTGATGTCTGGGTAGTGACAGTTGGACAGCCAGCAAAGCTATCAATACTCTGCAATGTACTAGACAGCCAAACCCCACAAAAACGTATTTGCCTCCAAAATGTCAGTCAGTGCAGGTGAGAAATCCCTTAGTTGTCAAAAAGAATTTGGGTGGTGGTTATCATTGGCATATGTGTCTCAGACAGGAGGGTGGTAAAACACTTTCCTAACTGGAACAGAAAAGTAGACTTGTGCGTACAGAGACCAACTAATAGGCACCCTTCACATGACCTGCTTGCGGTTCCCATTCTATTCCTCGCAGAGATAACGTTTCATATGTGTCCTAACCATTGAAGCTGGGAGAATCAAAGTTGCCTACGTGCTTTCTTGTGTGGCTAAAGTGATGGGACAGTTCCATCAGACAGTTGTGGACGGCAACCATAGCAGTGATATACGTACACGCTCTCCTTTGGGGCCTCTGTCTCCAGGTTTACCCATGATGCCCTGGAAAACAGACGTCAACACTAAAAATCGCTGCTTGCTGAGATTTTCCGTCAATCTGACCGACATAAAACTGTTTTTGAGAAACATGCGCTTATAAAGTAGGAATCTGAAGAATTCATACATTTAAAATGTTTTCTCCTGTACCTGAGCACCTGGTAATCCATCTTTTCCATTTATGCCCTAAAAAGATGAAAAACATTATGTCAATACCATGTCTACATACAGTTGTAGTTTAACACACACAAAAAATAGGTTACATGTTTCTTCAGATATCTTGGTGAGTCTGCATGGCAAAATAGAACACAAAATCAGCAGTCATTCTGTTTGGCGTCTACTGGTGCCATTGACCAGGCTCAGGGATTTACTGTATCTGATTAGCGTTAGCTTCTTTGAACACACAGCGAGGAATGCAAGGATGTAATGTTATTTACAACCAAGAAGTAAGCACACAAACTTGGAAAGTGTGGAGTCCTCTCAGGTAGTTACCGAAGATGGATTTCTCCACCTCCTACGCAGAATGAAGGTGCCCCAAAGCACTGGGTGGACAAGCCATGGAGATATTTTATACTTGTCTTATGCAGCAACTTTCTCTGAGATAAAACCTTCCATCTAGGAGGGAAGTTCCTTGAGACTCAGGATATTTTAAAGGAAACGAAACACTCCATCCTTCAGGGAAGCTTTTAAAACAGGATAAACAACTCAAAATCTTTCAGGAAGTTCCTGAAACCGACCATATTCACTATGCTCCTCCTCCCCCAAGGTTAGATAAGAAGTAAGGACTTTGGAGAGATTCCCTTAGACCAGCCAAGCTGCCTTGATGAGGCCCAGAAACAACAGAAGTGTCTGGAAAAGACACTCCCTATCTTCCAGAGCTGCCTGTAAGTTGAGTTCCAGGGCTCCATCTTTTGTGAGCGTTTCCATGGTGACACAGCTTTCTGGGTATCATCTGTGCTCCTGCCATAGCTCCTCATCTACGCTCCTATAAATGATGCCAGTTAAACTCACTGGTTTACCAAGTTGTGCTTTGCCCCTAACCTTGCTTTGGTCTGCTGTTGATTCCCTATCTGTGTGAGGAGACACTCACTCATCCACATCTTCCCAGGAACGGTGTCAGCACAACAGCCGTCTAGTAGTTTTAAGCACAGGCTCCCTCTCAGCAAATGCTGTCACTTGTTTCTGGGGGAATTTCATAACGTGGCCAGAATGTGATCCTATTATAAAATAAACTGTCAGCTGGAGAAAAATTACTACCTTTTTTTTTTCCAGTTTGAAAGAATAGTAAATGAGAGCTTGGAATCTGTAATCACAGTTTCTGAGACTATTAAGCAGAGACTTTTTTTTTTTTTTTTTTTTTTTTTTTTTATTAGAAAATTGGAACTTCTGGGAACCTTTGAAAGGTAATCTGGAAGTGGTCATAAAGCCAGCCCCGCTTGGAGATTTATAAAACTGACAGGATTGCCTGTCAGATATAGAAGGAGGAAAAGGGCTTGGGGTCAAATTAAATACCTAGAGCCCAACCGCAGATGCGGCAGCTGTGAGATGTGGTTTGAAGAGAGAGATCAAGGTGAGGGGCGGCATTTCCTAGCCAGCAGGTGTTGCATAGACATGCTCTGTGAAAGCCTGAGAGACTTTTATTGTGCAGGAACAGATTCCACAAGGACACAGCCTCAGACAGCCACCTGTTCTCACTGCTGTAAATCACCCTGGCATCTTTCGCAGCTGGTAACCCGACCGCAGGCTCAGGACTTCTCTGAAGCGCCGTGGGAATTACTGAGAGTATTGTAACTAAAAATGTGTTACCTGAAGTGCGTAGTTCAGAGAATTTATTACCCGCAAGAACACTAGCAACAGATATAGAGCTGACTGAGGGGAGAATGAGAAACAATTGTGACACCCCAATAAAAGATACATCAAACATAAAACTGGAATTCATGCTTTGAACCTTTAAAAGGTACACAATTATTTTTTTTAAAAAATTCATACACATATACAATGAAACATGACCATATCCATCCCGCATTTTCCACACCAGCTCTTCCCGAATGCCTCTTAACACAACCCTTTCCCTACTTTATGTTCTTTTCTTTTGATAGCTGACTAAATCCAAGCAGCATTGCCTGCCTATGCACCCATAGGCATAGGGCAGGAGGGAACCCACCAGTGTGAGCATCCTCAGACACCTCCGGCAGCAGTGTTTAGCACCAATCATTGCTAGCTTGCAATAGCTGCTTAAAAACATTTGTTTAACAGTAAAAATTTCCTGCAGTATTATATCCTGGGAACTCAATTGCAAACCTTTCATGAGATGGCTTACAAGGGTTAGGAAGGAGAAATTTGTTCAATGGAGATGACAGGAAGCTCAGAACATTATTGTGTTCCCTTGGTACTGTCTATAGCCAGCCCTGCAGGACTTTCCATACCTCATGTCACCTAATTGACTCATGGAACGCCCAGGGTCATAGATCAAGCCCAGAACGCCTGCCTTTGAATGGCACATGCCTTTTGTCTCTCACATTGCCACCTCTGCGGAGATGAGGGCCAGAGAATTCATCAGCTTTGAGTGTCAGAGAGATATCGAGCAAAGTTCGTAAGATGTACTTATTTTTCAGTCCTTCTGTTCCATACAAGACATAGCAAATGACTAACACCTTTTGTACAAAAGAAATTTGATAGGCTGGACAGCTGGCTCAGAGGTTGAAGGGCACTTGTTGCTCTCACTGAGGACTGGGTTTGGTTCTTAGCACCCATCTGGTGGCTCACAATCCTCTCTAATGAATTCCAATCCCGGGGCCTCATCTAGCCTCCACATGCACCAGGCACCATGTGGTACACATATATACATGCAGTCACTCATACACATAACATAAAACGAATCTTCAAAGATAAAAAAAAAAAATCCTTAAAAATCCCCAGAGCTTCACATGCCTCTCTCCAGGCTCAACACACTCTCGGTTCATAGCAGGGCCTGGATTTATAACGCTGGGTGGGAATGACTGTCACTATGTCATATCAATACACAGCTCTTTTAGGGCACTGGGCATGATACATCAGCAGTGTCAGGACAAGGTCTGTATATGAAGGAGGAGTTTGAGAAAAGGCTTTCTGATATAGCTTATCACACAGGCTGTGCCAGAGAGCTGTCGGCTTCTTCAGGTTTTAGGATGTGACGGGACATTTAATTTGAATGCTACTGAAATTACTAGACTTAAGGAATAAAGAGTCTACTAGCACTTAGAAAATCTCACCTTACCCCAACATTGTTTAAGTTATAAAGACACTACATAGAGATCTAGAAAACTCCTGGAGGAATCCCCTGCCAATACCCCTGAATTTACTTTTTAGAACCTGTCTGTATTTCCTTCTGAAATTGCTCACTCAAATCTTACATTTCTGAAGAGGAAGGCAAAGAGACAATACTTAGAACATTTCTTAGAATAGCAGTTGTTGGCTAATAAGCACTTACTGGCTTCCCCGAGGGTCCCTCTGGTCCAGGAAAACCTGTATCTCCAACAGGTCCTCTCTCACCCTGTAAACGTGTGCAAAGAAAAAAAAAACTCATTGGTTAAAAAATAGCATCTAGATACTAGAGTAGTGTGTCTGCTGCTAAAATGGTGGTGGCTCACCGGCTCCCCTGGAACTCCTGGAGGGCCTGGGGCACCAGGTTTCCCCTGTAAAAAAGCAAATAAAACTGTCAGAAGCTGTATTACCAATGCCATGCACTTCTACCTACACAAGAATTTAAAGGTTGCTGTAGTATTTGGACTAGTACATGTTCTAGGGTACTCTAGACTCCAGAGGCTGTAAAGCATACACTACAAAGTCCTGAGGGGGAGACGGAGGATATTAGGCCAATGCACCTTCTGACTTTTGTTCCTGGCAGTTCTTTCTTACTCTAGAACAGTAGTTCTCAACCTTCCTAATACTACTACCCTTTAATACCATTCCTCATGTTGTGTGGACCCCCAGCCATAACATTATTTTTGTTGCTACTTCGTAACTGTAATGTTGTTGATGTTAAAAAGGAATTGTAACGTGAATATCTGATATTCAGGATGTGTTTCCATTGTTACAAATTGACCCCAAGGGGTGCGACCCATAGATTGAGAACTGCTGCTGGGGGGGGGGTGGGAGGTGGAGGAGGGAGTTGGGGTGTGTGCTGGTTTTGTCAGTTGACACGAGCTGGAATCATTTGGGAAGAGGAAACCTTAACTGAGAAGATTCCTCCATCAGATTGGCCTGTGGACAAGCCTGTGGGACACTTTAACGATTGATGTGGGCGGGCCAGCTCAATGTGAGTAGCACTACATTTGGACTGGTGGTCCTGGGTTGTGTGAGAAAGCAGTCTCGGCAGTGAGCAGAAGGCCTCCACGCTCTCCGTTTCAGTTCCTGCTCCACGTTCCTGTCCTGTTTTGAGTTCCCGCCCTGATTTCCCTGGGGAAGAGGCTGTGTTCAGGACACATAAGCCAAATAAACTCTTTCCTTCCCATGTTGCTTTTGATCATCCCCCCCTACCCCCAATCACAGCAAATAGAAAGCAAAGTAAAACAAAAGGCAGAGGGGAGAGAAATTTAGGTCAGATTATGAGTTTCACAAGGGAACGTCTACATTGGTAGTAAGTTAATATGAAAAATAAAACATTTTATTTGAAGAGCTGTATTTGGGTAAAAGGTCGAGGGAAAAACATCCCCCCCCCCAATGTGCCATGGTCCAAAGGACGAGAACCAGTTTTCATTTTTTTGTCTATACAATTATACACATTTGTAGTCTCAGTCTGGACAAATGTAATAAAAAAAAATGTCATTCTCTGTATAGCATCTACACAATGGGTGGCATTTTATTATTTATTTGAGCTAGTTAAATCTAATGACGAGGGGTCTGTGGAGTTTTAGGATAGTGGAAGAAGGCAATGGAGCCTGTTTGGGGATCTTAGGCTGTACAGGGTGATGCTGTCGTGTTAGTGAGGCAGCAGTAGGGTGGGGCTAAGAGTAGGGCTCGTCTCATCTCCTGCTATCCAGGCAGACAGCTTCCATTGACTTCCTTGTAATGTGATACTGGACTTTCTCTGCAGGGTCACCTGGCAAGAGGATAAATGGCCTCTTATTCATAAACCGTGACCACAAAATTTTAATGAGGGCATTATGAATGAAGATCAGAATTATCCCAAGGGCTCAGAGAAATGAGTTCAACCTTTCTAAGAGCACTTCCTATTCATTTGCAAAGACCTTGGTGAGATTAAAGCATTTGACACCAGAGAGCAACAAAAATGACTGAGAGGATTGAAGCCTGGTTTATGAGGAAACATTAGCAGCAATAAAGCTGTGCTAATAACCCTGGCTGAAGTGAGCACCCAGGCGGACTACAGCTTAACGTGGGGAGTCTGATGTACATGTCCCAAGATGGGAACTGGGCCTCTGGGAGACAAGAGAATTGCTGAAATACAATAGGGACAGAGTATGAAAAACGAGTTTCAGAGCTGTGCACACACACTAATGCACAGTCATGGGTACCTGGAAAGAGACTTGGGAAGGGGGAAAAAAAGTCAAAAGGAGGGGGAAAGGTCAAAAGAAAGAACAGATATGCTAGAATAGAGTGGTCCAGGCTCTGGGTAACAGTTGCCACCAGAGTAAAGGTATAATCGAAGTGCACTTGACTACCAGCTGTAGATTGATTATGGAGAATAGAAATGCTAACATGAAATAATCTAAACTCACCGACATGCCAGCAATTCCTGGGGGACCTGCAGGGCCTCGATCTCCCTGTTGAGATTAAAATAGAAATGGCTACTTATAATGATAGCTATAGACAATTTACTTTTAAAATAATTGCTCAAATAGTAATTGGGCGTGCCATTATGGATGGAAGAAATCTCACAAGGCCCTACTCCTAGATGAAAAGTGCAGAGAGAGAGAGAGAGAGAGACAGAGAGAGAGAGAGATTCAGTCTTCTCCAAGGATGACTCACTTAATAGATTATCCAACTCAAGTGGCCAGCCCTAAACACACACACACAAACACACACACACACACACACACACACACACACACACACACACTCAAGCAAAACTAAATGGCCTCAACAGGCTGTATTTATATACAAATAGTACATACATACATACATACATACATACATATTTGTAATAATGAGTAGGAGGTCACAAATTTGGGGGGGCTATAGAAGTTGGAGGCAGAGAGTAAGGGGTAGAAATGTTGTAAAAACAATACTTATGTATATAATTAAAAGAAGTTGGATTTGTAAAGCCTTTGTTTGAATATAATAAGTGCTATTGTTATTAACTTGTATGAAGAAACCCAGAAAAATCAGAAAAAAATGAATCACAATTCAATCTATTATATTTTCTTCCTCTAAAAAAAGTAATTCACAGTCCTAATGAAAATCATTATTCATGATATTACTTTGGTTTACTTCAAGAGGAAACTGTACATCCTTACAGCTAAAGTTAGTCAATATTTAAAATTCTACACATAATGAAAATTATTACTATGACACACAGAATGTGTGTCCTTCCTTCCCCTCTCCTTTTGGAAGCAGGGTTAGAATAAAAAAGATTGAGAAGTAAAGATCTGTATTTTTCTCCAGTGATCCATCAGAACATCCATTTAATTGTTTTTAAAGGCAGAATGACTCGGGTGCTTTTCAAAGGCAGTGTAATGTTTCAGAGATGGTTGACAATGCTGCATGTGCTAGTAATTACACCTGATAGTAAAATGGCAATTTTTTGGGGGGGCAGAAACCCATGTTAAAAAAAACTTTATAATTTTGCTTTGGGACATAAAAGAAGACCTGATGAAATCAAGAGATATGGAGTGTAAGACAGTCCTGTAATTTATGTACCCAAGGTGATTGTTACGTGACTGCTATTTGACCAAAAATGTTAAAGTTCACTTGAGGATGAAACACAAATACTAGCAGGATAATAGATAATAGCAATACCAATATTTAAGCATATAATGAAGCTATAATTGAAATAATGGGATGCTGGTATAAAGTTTAGCAGTATGTCAATGCAAATGAGTATAAATCTTAGACGTACAGGAGCATTTGTATTAGGAGTTTTAGGAAACAGAGAGCAGTGTCAGAAGTTAATGACTGAATAATTCTTTATATTGTATTTCAAATAAATTCCACATAGAGATGTATAAAAAATAAAATAACATTGACTATAAAAGAACTAGAGGAATCTATTAATGACTATCTGACCTTGCTTGAGAACTGAAAGTAAACATTTCCTATTAAAAAAAAATCCAAAGAAGAAATAAAAAATCCAGTTTAGATTTGACTATCATAAAGTTTTTACAGTAAGGTTAAAATTAGAAACAAAAATCAAAGACCAGTGAGGATCTGAACTGTAGCAAATAGATAGAAGCAATATCTTTAGAACATAAAGCCCATGTTAAAAGAAAAATAAGTAATGCATGATCTAACCCATGTAGGAAAGTAGATTCCATAGATACAGGTAAGACAAGAGTGGTCAGCAGAGGTGATAGGGTGGAGAGGCAGGGAAGGGAGTTTAGTCAGGCAATGCCAGGTTACAATGAGACAGAAACAATGTCTTGTGGTGTGTTGCACAGTAGGATGGCAATGGCAATGGAAGACAACATGCTTCTCACGTCTAAGTAGTTAGGGGAGTGGATTTTCATTACATGAAGAAGTAACCAGTGTTGGAAGTGGCCACACATAATAACCCTGATTTGAGCATTATACACTGCATTAGGAACTTCATAGTTTACCTGTAAGTTATTATGTGTCATCTTGAAATATTTACGTATCTAATAGATGCACAGAGGACCTCCAGTTTTGACTCTCTCTCCTCTATTCATCTTGCCTCATATTCTCACGGTTACAGCTAAGATACAGTCAATATTTACATCCCCACCAGCATCTCATTTTGGCCACTTGAATCCCAAGTGGCCAAAATTTGTGGTTCCAACTTTCCATTATCCTTCTCTCCCTGCATGGTCTGATTCTTGCGTGCCTAGTTAAACTCCCGTGGTTACTTGCTTTCATCTCTTCCTATTGTATGCCACTAATCTCCCTGTGATATATTTGTGTTTAAGTACATACTTGTCAAAGCCAGGATGTTCCTTAAACCCATTCCTCTACTATTCTGTGTCTTTGCTTGAAAGTCTACACTTGGCTGGGGAAACATACACAATTGTAAGAACTGATCTGACTATGCTTATAGTGGCCATGACTTCTTCATTCTTCCTTGTTTTAGTTGATGACTACCCATCATACCAGTTGTGTAATCATGAAGCTTGGCATCTTCTTTGACAAATCTTTACTCTTTCCCCACATCTAATAAATCAGAAGACCCTGTTTATTCTTTCTTCAAACTGTGCCTACAATCCAGTCATTCCTTACTCTACCCACTGTTTCTATTCAGAGCCAACCAACATCAGCTCCCCCCGTGGATACTGGAATAGTCTGTGCTATAGTTCCTCAAAGGGCTGTGTGTTGCAGACTTGCTGGCCTCTGGTGCTCTTGGGAGATGGTAGAACCTTTAGTAGATGAGGCCTCATAGAACAAAGTCAGGTCATTGAAGGGATTTTGAAGGGAATATTGGGTCTCCAGCTCTCTTGTTTCTCTCAGTTTGATTTCTGCCTATCATATGCTCTTGAATATTGAACACCCTCACCAGACCTCAAAATGCAATGGAGCCATTCTGTAAGACCAAAACAGGAACAAGATACTTGGCAATTTAGCGGGAGACCAAAACAGGAAAACTATACGTTGCAGGTTAAGGGTTCTATTTGCAGCTAAAATAGCTAAGAATAAATTCCTGCTTGTCCTGGGCATATTAAGGCCTCTGTTTGTAGTTTAAGAATGAGCTCCCGATTGTTCTGTGTTAATTCCTTGTAGTTCAAGGTTTCTGTTTGTAATTAAGAATAGGTTCCCGTTTGTTAAATCTGATGTGAACTGCGTGCAACCCCATTTACATGATGCATACCCAGACCCTTGTTCCTTCCTTTTCATTGCATCCTTTCAACAATGTATAACAGCCAACTCTCCCTCCTCTGTGAACACCTTATCTCTCCAATAAAAGGGACTTCAAGAGGTTAGCAGGGGCCGCTCTCTCGAATCCTGACTGAGGGGAGACAGCCGGCTGGCCAGCCCTGAGTGCATCCCAAAATACAGCTTGCTTTAACTGGACACTGGTGGATTTGACCTTTTGTCCTCTGGATTCCCAGGCTTAACAATTCCTCCATGACTTCTTCAGTTTCTACCTCCAGGTTCCTGCTTGAGTTCCTGCCCTGACTGACTGATGATGCTGTGTTATCTAGAAGTGTAAGCCAAATAAACCCCCTCATTCCTTCAAGTTGCTTTCACTGAGAATATTTTCATCATGGCAACAAAAGTTGAACTAGAATATTAAATAATGCTGGACCCTGTCTCAATCTCTTCCATCCCTGTAGCTAAGAGCACAGCCAGCACCACCCCTCCAGTTGTCTGAGCAGCAGTGTTTGATGTGTTGGGCCCAACTTTCCACCCTATCTCCATTTCTCGGACCTTAAATATAAGACTTCATTCACACCTTCACCTTCCTATCACCCCTGGAGCTGGTAGGTCCTCAGGGTCTTTATATCTGTTGTTTCTGCTCCATGAATTGTTCTTTCTTCAAACGTATGAGGATACGATTAACTCACTTCCTTTAGGCCACTGTTCATCTCTTGCTTTAATTTCTTTCTGTTGTATTTTCTGGTAACAATCCCCCCCCACGCATTCCCCATTAGTTCCTGTGTCCTTCCCTAGAAACCAAGCCCCATAAGTATAAATGGTTCATTTGTTCTGTTCCCCTATAATTCATACACATAAAGCCGTTACTGATATAATAGCAGGTAAACACACATTCTTGAATATTGAGCAAATTAACATGTGTACTCACCTTTACACCAGGAAATCCTTCCAGACCTGGCAAGCCCATTGCACCAGGCTCTCCCTGCAAAATAGGAAGATGGAACAAGCAAGAGCAATGACCATGGTTTGTAAGCAATGATTTAAAGTCAATGTCTTTATTTCCTACACCCCTCAGCACTGATTTCAAACTTGGCTAGTGAATAGTACCCTCTATTTTCAATCATTAGGTGTGTGAAAATAACTTAGGAATTAAAGCTATTCTCCAGGCATGAGTCCATTTTCTGATTATTTTTATTCTGATTAATAATCTAACCAGGATGAATCCCTGTAGTGTATTAATAATTCTGGTTTCAGTAAGAATTAGAATGAGAAGCAGATTTTAATAAAGTTTGCCAATTTGTGAGTCACCTGGGGCTGCTAGCTTACGATAAGATTGAACTCTTTAAGAGTGAGTGAAGCCGGAGCTCTCAAAGCAGAATGTGGCAGCCTTCACACAGATTATAAATGCTTATGAAGATAACCCCAGTAATTTAAGTCATTGCTCAAGCTGACAGATACTGACAGGGATAGACCAGCTTTTAAAAAAAAAACCCAAAACCAAATCTTTATAGTCTATTACACGGTCCTAGACCTATGTTCAAAAATGTTGATGATTTGAACAAATAAACATTTTGATCGTAAAAGATTTAGAGTGGATCCAGAGAGAGGCTCAGCAGTTGGTTGCTCTTGCGGAAGATGTGGGTTCAGTTCCCAGCACCCACAAGGTGGCTCACCACTCCCTGTAACTCCAGTTCCAGGGGACCTGACACCCTCTTCTGGCCTCTTGTGGGTACTGCATGCATGAAATGCATGTACACACCCAGGCAAGCGCAGCACAGACAGATAAACAAATCTCTAGAAAAACAGAGAAGCAGTTAAGATATGGAGTTGTTTGGTAAGTTCTTGTGAATTAATTACTTTTAACTAAAAATATTACCCTAGGACACTAGATGCTTTAAAGATCACAGCACTGGCTGGTGTGGCAATGTGGTGGTGCATGCCCTTAACCCTAGCACCCGAGGTAGATGGATGTTGAGTTCCAGGCTAGCCTGGTCTACAAGTGAGACCTTGTCTCCAGACAAGCAAACAACACAGAAAAGCAAGCTTTCAAATTATATTCTCCGTAGGTGTATTTTTGCATACAAAACACAATTCTGCTTGAAAAATATTTCTAAAGCTGTATGCATCCATTGTTTACCCTCCTGTTGCATACGCCTAACAAGCAAGAGTGCAACTTGGCATGCTTTGTGTTTCAGGATTTTTTAATGCTCAGTAGTATACGATCTGTCAATCACAAGAATAAAAAACAGAAAGGAGTTCAGATTCTTTTCTGTGCGGGTCTGTGTGAAGGAGGCCCCGAGTTATCCATGCACGGGATATACCCTGCTATCACGCTGCCCCGTTTTTACATTTTCAGCAGTCTTCCCTCAAAATAGAAGAAGTGATCAATTAATTGATCAGCATTTTTGAGAGTAGCTAATAATTAAATATTTAATCGGAACCATTAAGATATTGAATAGCTAATGAAGAAAAGGTTGCCCGCATCAGGAAACCATTCAGTTATTACTATATCCAACCAAAGGCAATGTTTTCTTTATAGAGGTTGATTCAGAAGAGTATTACTGCCATGTGTCGTATCCTGAATCCTAAATGTCTTCCCAAAGTGCATGAGTTTAAGGGACGCTCTGTAATATAGCTTCACACAGAAGCAGGGATCATGGGGGCTCTGACCTCATCAATTAACCCCTTAGAGATTTATAGCTTAATAAGCTTTAGGGGTTGGTGGTAAAACAAAGCTGTCATTTGCTTCCTGCCACCATGAAGCTGGCAGCTTAGCCCCACTAAGTGCTCCCTGGTACTTACTCTGACTCACCACAGGCCCTACAGAGCAGCCGGCAATGGACTGAAACCTCTGAAACTGTCAATCAAAATTAGTATCCACCCCCCCCCCAAGTTGTTTATATCAAGTATTCTATCACAGTGACACAAAGCTGACTTAAAATGTCATGGAACTTGAACTACATTTCCTCCTCCCACCTCGTGCTGGCTTTGCAAATATGAGCTCTAGAAGGCAAAGTCCTTCCACTCCTGGCTTGTTCTTGTACTGTGGGCTGTTGTTTCTGCACACCCAGGAAATGGTGGGAGATGCTGAGAATGTCCTGTGGGTGTGTCCATACAGAATCCAGAGCAGTAATTTCAATGATATGTGTGAATGCTTGCACCATATTCAGTTTCATGGCTCCATAGTTTTCAGTTCATATTCTAAACACGGAGACGATCCTTCACTTCGTTTTTATTCTTTGCCCTGTAGCAGCTAAGAGGGATTCTCTCAGTCTAGACACATGTAGGGGAGGACCTAGTCCCTGCTCTAAATGATACCACAGATGTTGAAGATGGCCCCTGGAATGCCTCCCTGGCAGCAGAAAGGGGTATGGGATAGGGGGTGGGGGTGGGGTAGGGGAGGAGGAGAGGGAACTGGGATTGACATGTAAAACAAGCTTGATTCTAATTTATATTTTAAAAATGTTAAAAAAAGAAAGTAAACCACAGCCTTGTAGAAATCTATGAAAAGAAAAGAAATATGGGGCCTAATTTCTTTAAATTTTACTCAGTCTTTATTTGACCAGCTACTTACCAGCACTAATGAATTATAATTTATTCTTTAGTATTGCAGATTTTTAAAATGTTCTCACTTTAACCTGCAATTATTAATATGAGAACTTGAAATAATGTGCCAGAAATATCAGTGAGAAGTCTGAATTATCTATATGACTCAGAGGGGATTCTTTTCTGTAAGTCAGTAGGAAAGTAAGACTAAGGGAATTTTTTTAATCAATATGATGTAAGAAAATAGAAATAAAAATGGACAGAATTTTCTAGATGAACAAGATGCAAACAAAGAAAAAGCAACCAATTAGAAAAGAAAGGAAACTTCTTTTCTTTCTTTCTTTCTTTCTTTCTTTTTTTTAGATATAAAGCTGTTAGCCTGTTACTAGCATTTGTTATTGGCCAGCTCTGTCTTAAGTATTAACCCATTTCTATTAATTCAAGTATTTCCACGTGGTCTTATCTTACCAGAGAGAGGGCCTGGACCTCTGTTCTCTCAAGTCCCTACATGCTAACTCCTCCCTACTACTTCCTCAAATCCTCCTTGTCTCCTAGTCCCACCTATCTTGCTTTCCTGTTGGCCAACAGTGCTTTATTCATTAACCAATAAGAGAAACATATTTACAGGATGACATTTCCCATCATCTCCTCTTTTCTGTCTAAAATAAAAAGAAGGGTTTTAACTTTAACATAGTAAAATATATAGCAAAATAGTTATTAAATAAGAACTACAATTAACAATATTTAGTCCATTAACATTTAGCAAGATTTAAAGAAACATTATCATCTATCCTATCTTTGTGAGTCTAAAGTCCTACATGTAACTTATAGAAAGGAAACTTCTATTTAATGTATTGGGGATTCAGAACATAGTACTAAAGACTTGAAATAATTATTTTAGGGTAAATCAAGTAGACAGCTAATGTGTATATCGGTCAGTAACAAAGATAACTTCTTTGATAAATCTTTTTGAAAATATTCTTATATATAAAAAGTTACTTTCTATAGTTTGTCTCCTTTCTGGTTTAACATCTATTCAGACTCAGACAGTTTTATCAACTTCAACACACACACATACATAGCAACAGAAGTGGTTTGAAAGCCTATTTTAGTGTTAGGTACATTTTAGTTTCAGTTCTCTCCTCAAAGGTTACGAGGACATACAAATAGAACACGAAGGATGGAATATTTGCTTGAAAAGAGCATTGGCTGGGGAAAAGATACCAAAGGTTAAAGGGAATCTAATTGGATCTGGCAGAGCTTTCGTCGTGAGGCTCAACGGTTGAGAAAAATGCTGAGGACAACTGCCATCCTTTGGACAGCTGGAGGACATGATCTCCTACTTTGCTGAGTGCTAACCCCCCCAGATGCAATGCACTCAATAAGTAGGTTTATGACAGTCTGCACTCCCCGCAGAATAATTGCCCAAGACATGCAAAGTAAATAAACAGTCCTTTTCCCTCTTTTGCTGGTGAGATGTCAGACATATTAAGGAATTTCTCTCCCTTAAGTGTTTCTCTTCCGAGAGCTACTTAAAACTGAATCAATCATCCAAAGAAGGCCATTAGAGGGGAATGTTCCATTTGTCAAGAGCATTATATGTGCCTCCCTACAGCAGAGGATGGTTTTAAAACCTGCTGATGGAAAGAGACAAACCTCAAGGGCATGGAAAGCATCAGGACTAATGCATCCTGGAAATGAAGGACACATTTGCTGGTGTATCTCTATTTGCTGGCTTGTCTCTGACACCTTAACTGAGACACACCTAGAAAGGCAGGCCTTCTGTGCTTGGTACCCTTTGTAGTGTTACCAAAGACTACTACACCAAGGTAAGAACATACATACCACTGGGCCAGGATCACCTTTTGGGCCCTGGAAGAAAAACATAGAAAGCGGTTTTGTTACTAATTACAGTTACATTTTCTGAAGCATTTTTTTTATTCAAATGCCAGTTAACAAACATAAGGATGGTGCATATTTTGCTTCTGCTGAAGTTTGGATTTGAAGAATAAAATTAAGAAACATGCTTGGGGATCTAGAGGGATGGCTCAGTGATTAAGAGCACATAATGCTCTTCTAGAGGACCTGAGTTCAGGTCTCAGCACCCATGAAGGGTGGCTCACAACCATCTGTAACTCTAGCTCCAAGGAATCCAGCACCCTCTCCTGATCTCTCCAGGCATTGCATGTAAATTCCATGCATGCATGCGTGTGCGTTCACACACACACACCATTAAAATAAAACAATTCTAAAGAAACAATATGGTATTATTTTATGAACATGATTGGGTGTTGTCTTATAGCTCAGATTGACAATGAAAACCGTGACACTGCTATGCTAAATATTTTCTATTATTAAGGCTTTGTGCATTTTTTCTTTTATTCAAGTTGGCTTCAGTTATCATTTACTCCTGTCACATTTGTGACATTCAGGTTTCAGCGAGCTTGAGAGATCTCCCCCATCATTATTGTGGTCTAGCCCAAGCCAGTTAAAGATAATCGTCTGTACTTACAGGAGGGCCCGGGGGACCTGGGTAACTGGGAACATTCACTCCTCCCTTCAAAAGAAGAGAAAACAGATGAGAAGAGAGTATGGGACCCTGTGACTGGAAAGCACTCACAGGTAATTAGACATGGAGATACCTGGATTTTGTATAAACTGCTCATGCCGTTTCCTTCATTGAGTGGGACACCCTTAGGAGAGAAATAAGAACTTCCGTCATTGGGACAAATGGTATTCTTCCTATATTAATTTTACCTAAGTTTTTCTATTTTATACTTAAATCAACACAATAAACAAAATACCATAGCGTGTCAATATTTCAAAACGGGGAAGCAAGGAGAGGGACCGTCGGGAGCACACTGGATGTTTCCAGTTGGGTTTGAATAGTGTTCAAGCCTGCAGACGAGGCACTAATGCATTCAGAGGAAAACTATTATTTGCTCATTAAAATTCAGTTTCTGAATTGCCAATTTACCGTGTTTCCAGCCTGCTGACCTGCGGGCAGCCGTGCGGGGAGGCTGATGAAGATGTGAATGGGGAAGAATTTGGCTATTGCAAAGTGATGTTTCCCTAGTCTCTCCAAACCAAACAGGAAATGAAGGTGAATTGGAGGACAACTTCACTCATAATCCTGTGTGGATAGCTCTACAAAAACATCCTTAATAACTTCGGAATGAAAGCTTCCTCCCTCTACCCCCAAATATGTTGCATGAAAAGAGATCTCGTCATGCAGTTTGAAAATTCCCATCCACCTTAGCGTTTGCGGGAAACGCACGCGAAACTTTCAGTTTGGAAACAGGATAAATTCGATTAAATATCCAGGTGCGTGTTTTCATTATTCTTATATCTCATATGCAAAAGCAAAAGAAAGCCGTCGATTCATTACTGTCTGGGGATAATGGTGGGAGCAGCTATTCCCAGCAAGCGCAGTTGACATGCATCTTCAAACCAGCAGTGATGGAGGAAGATGCTCTGTCTGTTTATTCTTTCATTGGTTCTTCATTCATTTGACAATAGCTGAGCATGGGCCATATTTAGTATGCTATGCCCCGAGGATGCAGAAAAGACCTTTAAGAAAGCTTCCTGGAAAAGATGTATAATGTCTTCAAAAAATGAATTATTATTTTTTGAAGAATCCAGAGACAAGAGGAAGATTTCTTAAGTGTGATATTAAAAACACAGGTCTCTTGGTATGTATTTCCTGCCCCCTGCTGAGGAGAGGAGCATATTTTAGAATTGGAATTCCATGAGTTTTCTATCTTACCTCTCTGTGAAGGAAGGAAGAATCTGTTTGAAGAACATGTTCAAGGAAAGAAAGAGCCAAGCAGCTGGGTTGTGTGCAAGGCATGCACCTGTGCACAGACTCCTAACATGCATGCGCTTTAGCTTTCAGAAAGCTACCTCAAGGCCCTGCCTCTCCCTGCTAAGCTTGGCTTCTAAATTCCTGAGAAGCAATGTGGGAAATAATGGACATGGACCTCATCTTTGTTGCTATTCGGCCATGGCCCCACATGAGGGCAGACTTGCCACAGAGAGAGGCCCTCTTGCTTCCCAGAAAGAATGCAAGCCTGTGTAGACCATGAGGGCAAACATCCAGGGACCTTTGCATTTTTCTCACTGCGTGCCATAGGAGGAGAATGTCCTCACGTCTCAGACATCACTCATGCGGCGAACACACACAGCATCTTTGAAAGTCCAAATTGCATGGCTAAGAAAGGATCTCCTTTTAAAGGCCTTTTATTTTCTGCGAAGGTATATGATAGTCAAATGATTCTCTGTCCTTTGTAGGAAGTAGGAGTCTAGGAGTGAGGCCAGCACACAGCCGTGCATCCTGATTTCATGCAAGGGGAATTCATCGTATACAAACAAATCTGAACACTATACATTGTAGCTTAGCTGAAATAGAGACAAGTTAGGTTTACCTAATACTTCATTGTCTGTTGTTCACACACACACACACACACACACACACACACACACACACACACGCACACGCACACGCACACGCACACGCACACGCACACGCACACACACACACACACACACACACACACACACGTTCGCACACACAGAAGAAACTCAAGACGTAACTTTGCTAGCACCTAAGCGATCTGCCTTATGAGCCATAAGGACACAGAGTTAAAGCATATACTTCAAACAACTCACAGGAGGCCCAGGAGGTCCAGGTTTCCCAGGGGGTCCCTCGCTGCCCTGCAGGAGATACACAGGCCCAAATAAATGCCTTGGCTGTTCCCACTCCACATGTGTGAACCAGGTTGTCCAAAGAGCCGCCTTCTAAAATCACCATGGTCTGTCATATTGCCTCAGCCTTGGCGCTCTTATTCTGCCCAGCTTGCTCAGTAAAATAACATCTGCCCACTCCAAGAAAGGGAATACCTCTCTTGTGGCTGGATTCTCACTGGGTGAACTCTAGGGGAAGGACACTAGGGATCGACAAGCTAGGTGACCTGTTCTGGGCTTTGAACACAGTAGGGAATTTTCTCCTTCTAGGTGTAAATGGGATAGGAAAGAGTTCATGAGAAGATTTCAGGCTCTGAGACTGGCTCTCTGGACGCCTTCACTCTTGCCTTCAACCGCCACCACCTTCCACTTTCTAGAACCAGAGAGAACATTCTAGTAAATTTAACCAAAGTATCAAATCACAACCTGTGCCATAGCTGTTGGTCCATACCAAACTCTACAACCAGATGAGATGTGTCTTACTGAGTGGAAGCGACTTTGGCATGACACTGTTTAAGGGAGATGGTCTATTAATTTAGCTTACTGCTATAATTTAAATAACCTTGTAGGAGACACAAATCAAAAACAAAGGGGGACGACAATAATTGCTTACTGTGGAACAATAACTATTCTGTGATTTTTGAACTGAAACTTGGAAAAATGACTTTTACAAAGCACAGAATGCTTGCCAGTTTGCAGTAAGCAATCGCTGCAGCCCCTTGGCTTCTTGCCAATTTTTCTATAACTGTGCATTGCTTGTAAGTGGTACTTTCATGAAATGTTCTATGTCATGTTTGCCGGGACAGTGACAACACATGGCTAATTAACATACGAATGTCTAGGAATTTTGAGGGTTGTTGGTCCTTTCCCAGAATTTGGCCGAAGATTTCATTTCAACACTCATCTGCTTTCTGGTAACAAAGGAAAACACCACAAACTATATAGTTATCAACGTGAATAAACTGTAAAGTTTCTCACGAAACACACAGCCTGAGAACATGTACACTTAGTTAGCCTGTTGTGTCTTCCTTAAACTGCTTTGATGGCCGCTGTCTCCCTGAGATGCCTTCTGTTCTGCTAACTGTGGGCGATGTCCGTTAGAGTGTTACATCACAGTTCTCGTTTGTCAACAAACAGTATGTGCCTATCGAGAACACTTGTTTTCTCCTCCTGGCACAGTTAGAAGTCATATGCTCTTTTGTGCCCTCAAGCTCATTTCAGTGTGGAATTCCCATTAACTTCAAAGGCCAGGCTAGGACCAAATAATTATCATAGAAAACAGAGAAGAAGAAGAAGAAGAAAAAAAAAAAAAAAAAAAAAAAAGGCTGGTGGAACGGAGAAAGGGTCTGAGATATTCACAGGATAAAAATGTGCTGTGGCTCTCCAGAACAAGTACACTGTTTCATGTAAGTGTTGTGGGGATATTTTGCCCCTTGACACCGCCATGCTCCGTTTTGCTCTGGGAGCTGGCATTCTGGCTAGTGTGTGTGGGAGACCTAAGCAGCCTTTGTGGCTCCTTCATCCTTACTACCTTAATCTAAATAGTTTTAACTATTTCACCATTTGTCAGGCTATGCCTGGACTGCCATTGTAATGCCAATTTTGATCTTAGACCACAGCAGCCTGCTGTTCCTGGGCTGTTGGTCCTTCCCACCCAAACACAGCACTTACATCCAGCTGTGAGCTATGGTAGTTACTCTTCACTGAGAGTTGATGGGACTTAGAATCACCGTGGAAACACATCTCTGGGTGTGTCGTGAAGACTCTTCCAGAAATGTCTAGCAGAGCTGGGGAAGACCCACACTGAATGTGGACATCATTATCACATGGGCTTGAGTGCCAACTGAATAAGCATAGAGCACCAGCTTTGACCTCTCTGCGCCTGCCTGCAGATGCTGTGTGACCTCATCTCTCCTCTTTCTGTGACCTGGCCACCATGATGAGCTGCAGCCTTGAACTGTAAGTCAGAACAAACCCTTCCTACTTTTGGATGTTTCCTCAGATGATTTGAAAGAGCAACTGAAGTAACCAATACATTCTTCTTCCCAGGGAGAATGTTTTTAGTGAATTCCCACTACTGCCTTCTAGGGACAGCATGTCCAGATTGTCTCAAAAACCCTTTGGTTATTGTTCATTGTTGTTATAGTCAGTAAGGCAGCTGGAGCCAGAGAGCTTATTCAGAATGTTTGGGCATCCTGTTCATAAGGTGATGAATTAGATGGGCCCCTTGGGAGACAGTTGGGTCACCAGGTGGAACTTTCATGAATGGGATCAGTGCCCTTCTAAAGAAGCCCAAGGAAGCTGCTGAGTTACAGTTGAACTATACAGGGACTCATTTAGAACATGTCCTCTGTGAACAAGAAAATGGGCCCCACCAGCTGCCAAAACCACCAGCACTGTGGCTGGGTACTTTCCAGCTTCTGAGACTGTGAGAGATGCTGTGTAGAGACACTTGATGATATTTTGTTATAAGAGCCCAAAGAGATCAAGACTCAGCCATAGCTGGAACTCTCTGATATATTATAACCCGACTTATGCTATATCTCTTGAGGAGACTTGGGCTAGTCAGTCACCCTTCCACATGGACCGATGTCCCAGCCTCTGAACCCCGTTTTGATTTCTGCATCCTACCCCAGTGTTCTCTCTCATCGTACTTTCCTCTAGGAACACACCTCCTGTATGGAAACCCACGTTTAGACCAGCATCTTTCCAAGTACACTTCAATGAATAGCCACTTCCTGATACCATGTGCTCTTGTAGGCTGTTCTTGACTGCATGGGTCTCAGGTAACAGCCCCACCTTACCGCCAACCCCAGCCCCATTTTCCTCTGTACCTTGTCACCTTTTGCTCCAGTGGGACCAGGGTGTCCAGTTCTTCCTGTTAAGCCCTGTAAAATGGATAGACAAGTTTGTTATAGAACCAACTAGTCAGTGGTCAAAAAGGTGTTGGGAGTCAGTTGCTAAAACGTAGCCATTTCGAAGGTCATTTGATCCTAATTAAATCAGTTCTACAAGCTTTTATTTCTTCAGGCTGATACAGCACCTGTATTCTCCTGATAAGCCCTTGGAAGGGTAAAACGCCTGTCTGTGGGATTTTCATCTTGGCCAACCTCATTCAATGACCTTAATTGGAACCTTTTGATACACTGAAGAATTTAGTCTTGCAGTTTAAATGGAAATTTACATAACATAATGTCTTCCTAAACGAGGTATAATTTTGGTAGTGATCAACATCTTAAATACACCGAGACTGGGCAGAATTAACAGTGTGCATTTTGAGTTATGTGATCGTCATTGTAGAAAGGAAAACAAAAAAATAAGTTTAATTCTTCTTCGAGAATGGAATTAGCAGTTATTCTTGTGGTTTCTTTTACAGTTCTCTTTCATAATTTTAGGTAATACTGTACAGGTTTGTTGGGCATACTGAGGTGCAAGCATAAGTGATTGCCTTTTAATTATGGTAAACTCATGATTCAAAACACTAAGGAATGAAAGGAATGATCACACTTTCATTTGAGGGATAGAAATAATTTCCTGGCATAGAAGCTTCAAGAGGAGGAAAGGACATAGGAGTTAGGACATCGACGGAGTGGGGTTAATTTAGCAAAGAAAATGCATTGTTTGGGACCAGTTTACACAGACATTATTTGTTGGTCTAAAACTCAAGTGCGATTGTGTGTCCTTTCCTTTATCTGGCAATTGAATGTTAGGGTTGCTTAAAATTCAACTCTAAATAAGAGATTGGGTTTGGCAGGTTGGAAGTGATAACAGATTCTCTTCTAAGGAAACAAGATAACCCAAAGGCCATATTGCTGTGTTGCAGGAGCAGCGAAACAGATTTTTTAACATTCACATATAGGAATAAAACAAATTAAAGCTGATAATCTTTGGCCTGTTATTTTTCTTTGGAAAATTCTCAGCCTGTGTTGCATCTGAATCTCTCTTCCAAGGTCAGTATCAAAATTTGTAACTAAGGGGAGAATGGGCTTGTGTATCCACCGAGTTTCTATTTCCAACAGAGTAGGAGGAGGCTCTCTGGCTTGGCAAAAATTCTGACGGGAAGGCTCCAGGACACTAAGCAGGCTTAGCTAATCTTAGATGAAAGCTGGAGGTGCCGAAGGTGTCTATGCTTCTAAGCAATGGCTGATCTACAGAGAGATAGATGTGGAGCACGGATGGTACCAGGAATATTAATGCACCTTGTATCATTCCTACAGGTGTGGCCTATGAGGAGAATAGTCTCATCAAACACTTACAGGGGGTCCAGCTGGGCCAGGAGCTCCAGAGAGGCCAGGAATTCCTTGAAGACCCTGGAAGAAACAGTTTCTATGATAAAGTGTGCTATAGGGAACAAATAGATTTTGCAATTCAAATATTTTGTTATTGAAAATTAATCTTAGAATTTAATCGAGAAACTTGGTATGTGCAACCTATAAAAATCGATTTAGTTAAAAAAAAAATTCGGTATGTTGGGCCAGGTTTATTCATGTTATGCTCGTGATGTGGAGAACAAGCGAAGAGTGTCCCCTGAAGTCTAATGAGTCCTCTGCAGCATTTTCTGTGATCCCTGTCAAAGAGAATGCAGAGTGCACCTATGAAGAGCACACTAAAGTATTGAGGCACAGTAACTGTGGGTTCAGCTCACCAGGACAAAAACATACCTCTCAGAATCAACAAAATTTAACGTCTAGTGAGTTTAACAGCGCCACTTATAAAAAGCCCACATTGCAATTATTTCTCAATCTTTTTTTTTTTTATTACCTTCTCAATTACCTCTAAACCCACCTCTTGAGTCTAGGCAGTTAAAACCTGCCTGCTTGTTGAAGCCCATTACTGTGCTTATACTTTACTGAAACCTTCTGTGGAACTCCAGGAAGCAAAAGCTCATTAATTCTTACTTGTTTTCAAAACAAAAATGCCTTTGATGTTTTATTTATAAATGAAAATAAATGCCGTATTTCTTATTCTTTAATTTTTAACTTGGAAACCAATCCCAAGCCAACCTTAAAGGTTTCTAGAACACAATGAATATCAATAAAAACAATAATAAATGATGATAATGTGTAATGTGAAATACAGTTCTAACCAGGAAAATAGATCTATTTTATAGTGTCATAATTTTCCTCACTACTATCAAGGTTAATATATGCCAGATGGCTTTCTTACTTTCATTAAGCACTATTAGCACCAAAACTGTTTAAACTAACAGCAATTCATCATCCTAATTGGTTTTTCTAAGAGTTAATGTGAATTATGCAGGGCGAGAATGATATCCTAAGCATCACTGTGGCTTATAGACAGAATATTACACCATTATCTCCAAAACAGGTTCAAGCTGCATGCCTGGTCCTGAGGTGGGCGAGCTGCTGACCTAAACCAATCTGCACAGTTTATTTCTCCCAAGCGTTTGGAAGCTCAGTAGAGACATAGAGAAACCAAGGTTGTTAAAGTTCAATCATGGTACAGAACTATCCCCTGACTGGGCTCTGAAGCTGCTCTCATCTCTATGCTTATTTGTATATTCCTTCCACATCTTTGCTACCCTGAGGTTTCTTTTTGCGAGTTCACTCTTCTTCTTCTCTTTCTTGAAAGTGCCGGGACAATTATCACTACCTACAAACAGAAACCTCATAACTGTCATATTAATTGTTAGCCTTAATTTTGTGTCTCCACATCTAGGCCACCGGAGATAAATGTGCATCTATAATTATCCAGATGTGTTTATTTTTAAAACATCAAATTGTTCTTGGTTTTCAGTGGTCTTTGTATCAAACATATATTGGCGAGGACTCAGTGTCTATTGTTTATTGAATCATGTAGAGAGAAAAAGTAGCTGGCTGTTTTATTAGAGAATCTCTTACCTCATCGCCTTTCTCCCCATGCACTCCAGGGTAGCCTCGCTCTCCTTTGCTTCCCTAAAAAGACAGTAACTTCAGATAACAGTGGACCATTTCAGGATTGTTTGGAACAATGGGGAAAAACTCCCCCGATCAGAACACTTGGGGCATATCATTTGGACAGGCATCATCTGCAAATGCCCTTTGCCCCAATTGCCAAAGCAAGTGTCATAGGAGCGGTGCATTTTAAAAACACGATTCTCTGCTTTTCATATAGTTGAGAATCTGAGACAGAGTTTTCTTACCTTTGGCCCCTCTCTGCCTGGGACTCCTGGAGGACCCCGTGGCCCTATGTCCCCCTGGAAGACAGAGAAGTCGCAGCTGCAAGAGGACACCCAGGAGGTGTGGCGTAGGACCCATAGGCATTCCACAAACCTCTCACCTTCCTGGCTGCAGAATCGTATTTTCCAGGTTCCCCAGTGTCCCCTTCATCCCCTTTGTTGCTTTTCAGCCCAGGGACATGGGCTTGGCAGTTGCCACAGAAGTTCTAGCAAGTATAAAGACAACTTAACTGAGAGGTTCATAAAATCTGTTTATGAAGCTGATGTTTGATCTCTTTGAACCCTTGTCAAATGAGCAATTGTGAGGCTGCTCTTAATTCAGAGGCTCATCTGTCCAATCTGAAAGATGACTTTTTGATGTAAACACTTGACAAGCCTAATCAGTAATCTTTGTTTATGGTGCCGATGAACTTCTCCCTAAAAACAAAACACCACACACACACACACACACACACACACACACACACACACACACACACACCACCACCACCACCACCACCAACAACAACAACACACCTTCATTTCAAAGGAAAATCCCAAATAAATAGTGGGGATGGGAAATACAATTTGAGAACACAATCTGAGTTTTAACTGTTTAGCACATTTAGGAAGAGAAGCCATATTAAAGTTTGGGTTAAGGAGCAAGTTTAAAGAGTACACAAAACTAATAGTCCAAGTGTGTGGAATTACAATGAGAAAAAAAGAGAGGGAGGAAAAAAATTCTGACTTGAAAGTGGAATGAGTTTGGGAACACACCACAGGGTCTGCTAATGATTGCCACGGAGGTTTCCTTGGGAAGAACAGGAACTTAAGGTCCTTGGACTTGACCCAGGGTCAAATCTAAGAGTAGATGGGAGACATCAGTTGTATCACTGTTCCATCGACTTTACAACCTTCAGGAGATCACAGTGGCCCTGACCCAAGTGTCTATGCTCCTAAGACAAACCAAAGTCTTATTACATGGCTAGGAAAAACTGTCTATGAAAAGCTTATTTAAAAAAAAAAGTTGGAATAAAAATATGACTAGGAAAGACTAAGGACCACTGATGGAGGGACCACTGACAGAGTAGGACAAAAGAAACTCCTACTTTTCATTGTTTCCAGTAATTGGAAGAATCGAACAGAAAAAGGAATGGAGACTTGGTATTGATGGAAAGTTGGCAAGAAAGAGTAAAATTATTCATAACCAATATTTTTCGTTATGAGTCAACACACATAAAATCACAGAACCACCATGCAAGGAAGAGGAAGGTGGGGCTAAAGAGAATCAAGAAAGTTTCTATATTTCAAAATGTGTGAAAAAGATGAATTATGTATATATATGTTTTATCAGTATTGAGCAAAACCCTTGAATAATGATTTAATGATTTCAGAAACATTTTCAGATAGATTCCACTGATGATTTTAGTGGAATTCATATTTAGTAAAATAGGAAAAGAATAAGAAAAATTTAAAAAATGATAATTGTTTTAACTCAACAGAAACTTCTTAGATTCATTTGATAATGGTCTCATTTTCTTCAGTTACATAAAGCAATGGAAACTGATTTTAATATAGCTCTTGAAGAAAATGACTCAATATTATTTCTATGGAAATGATTAAAATGCATTAATCATTAGCCAATGCACAGTCTGATTCTAAGAGAACCTGGCACACAGATTAATCTAGAAGGGTTGGGAGGAATGGTTTGGTTTTTAGCATTATGCCAGGTCCTCTCAATGCTCTGCCTCAAGATATCTTAGAGAACAGAAAGCAGCTGACAGCTTGTAAGAAGATCAAGACTTGGAGATTGAGATAGTGTGCTGGCTTCCAGGGCCGGGAGTTAACGTTATGTTATTTACTTACTTCCACAGGTCAATCTCCAAACCAAATTCTTGAATTTTGGGTTTGGGTGGGGGCTACTTGTTTCCCCCTTCATCTGTTAAATAAGGCTTGTTGGCGTCACCTGACAAGGTTTCCAGTCTGCATCCCACCAGTCCGCCCCTTTGTGACTCAGGACCTTACTGAGATGATTCTGGTACTGGAAGAGTAGCGTGATGTGTTGGAGGAGGCTGCCCTGGCAATACAGTCAGTTCCTCTATCCCCTGAGGCTCCTGAGAGCTTGTTCCTCCTCTTAGCAGAGTTCACTCAGTGTGTTGTCTGTGCTGTGAGCCATCCTATATTCTGTCAGAACATTTAGTTCTGGTTAAGTATACAAGTTTCTCATCCTTCAAGAATTCAAATAGCTAATTCCTACAATCTTGTCGTTTCTAACATTATTGCTGTTAACAAAGAATCCGGGGCTTAAAACCTGAGGACACGTATTCCTGGATCAACCTCACACTTATTAGCTACGTGTCTGGGCAAATTACTTAGCTATTTGGGACTGCAAGTATCTTCGATGACAGAGGATGGCACTCCAGCCTGAGCTCAGAACATTTTGGTAAAGACTAAATGGGAAAGAAATAAGTAAGGTTGCACTGACTGACATAGAATTATAACTCAATATGAGAGCTCTCTGAAACTCTCCAATATTCTGTGTTATAAGAAGACTCTACTATTTCGAGTTCCTAAAAAAAAAAATCCCTAAAGTGTTTTTTATGTGAATATAGGCCATGTCTTTTGATGGACTCCATGCTGTATTCCATGTTTACATGTAAGTCGTTAGGCACATCTTAGAACAAACACCAGTTGTACAAGAGAAGTGGTGTGAGTGATGTGTATGTGTGTTCATCCAAAGACAGGAAATGTTAAGAGTGAAATGAAGGGCTACATTTCCATTTAGGGCCACCGTTCTTACTAGACTGCATGGACACTACATATGCATAGCCTTACCCACTACCAGAGGCCTCACTTTTACTGATAAAACATAGTATTTAAGAAAAATGGTAGCCATAGTGTATGTGTGTGTGTGTGTGTGTGTGTGTGTGTGTGTGTGTGTGTGTGTGTGTGTGGTGTTAGTATGGCGTGTGCTTCTGTAAAGTAAAACTGGGTTTAAACTTGTTGTACTCCTGTTCCAGCCTCCTGAAGGAGGGAATTACGGGCGTGTGCCACCGTGTGTAGCCCAAGGTACTTTATGGAACAGCTAACCGGTAGAGATAATTTTTGTTTAATAGGGTAACAGATGTTAGGGCGGCTTGTTGGCTTTGGAATTTTATGGCTCACGTTGCAAAACTCCGTGATATAGAAACTCAATCTGTAAGCTAGTGGCACTGATAATTGATCTGGAGCCTGACCAGAGCTGACAGGGTGGCAGACAGGCTTCAGGGTAGTGAGGCAGGGTGGGGGAAGGAAAAGGAAGAGAAAGCTATTGCTTCAGAAGAGGTGGGACCTACGAAAGGTAGCCATGACCACCCCTTCCTGTATCTCATCTCAATACTGCTCTCCCCTCTCTCCCTGTTCACAGTGTATGACCCCGAAAGAAGGAGTGGGAAAATTAGTATTATACAAGATATAAGAAGGCATGTACTTTTCAGTATTAAATGTTTTCTAACACTAGAATTTGAATTGTTTGGGCTGAGCAGTTAGTTAATTGTCTTTGGTAGAACATTTCTCTTCAACCTTTTCGACACACCAACATGTAATAGCAAAAGAATACCTTCAGCAAGGCGCCAATGTCTCCCAAGAGAGGAAGTGCAATCTGTAGTTAAAAGAGAGAAACTCAAATCCATGGAAATTCACATGTACACGAGCCTGATGCAACATGAACATAGATGCTGATGTGTGCGTTTTTTTCTTAAAGTGCCATGCCAATTGAAATTTGGGGGTGGTGAGTCTCACCATCAGACTCACTCGCTTAGCATTGTGTGTAAGCATGAAGCTTACACACAGTACTGATAGAACCAGAATATTAAGTATTCACTATTCCTTCACCAAGATCATGCAAACACATTTACATCGCTGTTTTGATCATACACCTGTGTTTTGTAGTTTCAACACAAGGCAACCTTGTTCTGCTTTCCATGTGTTGTTGGTTTTAAGTAATATAATGCTTCATTTAATCATTTGTTAAAGAAGGAAGTCACTCCTTTACCAAGCACATTTTCAGGCTGCTGAGAAATATGAAGACTGCATGGTGAGTCTGCCTTAAAAAAAAATCAGCTTTCAGAAGTCCTAAAGACACTTCAGTGAGGGGTAAGACAGACACCTGGGGAATGTGGGCTGTGTTTGGGCCACGGGTCTTAAAATTTCCTTTCAGAGGAACACTGTGTAAGCCCAAGTGACAGTTGACAGGATGTGAGATGAGGGGCACACAGTTCAGTGATGGAGCTAAAGAAGGGCTGGACAAGGCTACTGCAAGCAGCCTCTAAAGGCTGTCAAAGGCACACAGTGTGGGAGGTGAGTGGATCTGTGAAGACCCAGCGAGGGACCAGATTTAGATTTTATTATACAAAACTCTCAATACAATGCCATGTGCCATATGGCCTCTCAAAAATATAAGTGTTGGAGCTGAGGCTATTTAAAAAGATTTACTGTCACTCATAGCAAGGTTTAACCTGAAATAAAACTCTGCAACACACGGTTAGCATCTAAATGCATTTCTTGAGATTTTTCAACCCGATTTTCATAATTTAATCACCTCGTCTGTTCCAAGGTACTCAGTCAATAGCTATGCACCACACTGGAGATAACTTACCTGTAAACTTCCATTTAGAAAAATGAAGTTCATTTACTCACTAGCATTAGAAAGACTAGAAATCGTGGCTATCTGTTTTATCTCAATTTTCCATGGAACAAAGACATTAAATGCTAAGGCTCAGCCCAGGGCAAAATTGTACAGCTGAATTATACCCTTAGGAAATAAGTATTCATCACACATGCACAATAATGCTGACCCAGCTTGAATTTTTCCCCCCTCTACAAAATAATGGGGATAAACAAAATCACCAAGCAGTCTCCGAACACTGTAATTAGTTTGGACAGCAAAATTTGCTTGGTAGGCTGTTTGGCTACTGGGTGCATTAAAGATACATAAATCAGGCAAAGCCTGTCTACATACCGGGTCACCTGGGGGGCCTGGAAGGCCTGGCTTTCCATCTCTCCCTGGAGCTCCCTAAAAACAGAAGCCACTTATTCAAACTTCTGCAAGTTACTGATTACAGTGGACATGGGTGTGAGTGGGGGAAAGGTCCTTACATCATTCCCTGGGATCCCTGGAGTTCCTGGCAATCCGGGCAGACCTCGAGGACCCTAGAAAAATGACGAAGAAAAAAAATGTTCTGTAGGACAGTCTTTTGAGTAATCACTGGCAGTCAAGAAAACTAAACTTATTTTGTGAGTAACTTAGTGACCTCACTTACCTGAATACCTGGCTCTCCTGCTGGTCCTTGGAAGCCCTGGGTAAAAAGAGAGAGAGAGAGAATTATCCAAATTCTACCAGGGCTATTCATAAATGCCCTGTAGTTTACTTAGCAGAAAGACAGGGTTTGACTCTTACACAGTCTAAATGCCCTACAAGCCCTGCACATGGTTTCTAGAGAGCTTGCCATGACCTAAAGCAGTGTTTAAGGAACCAGCCATTCAAGGCTAGAAGAACAAGACTGCCCACACACTGGGGTATTTCCTTCACTCCACCCTGCGGCTCCACACTCACAGGTTCAAATCCTGTCACATCAGAAGCCAACTGCCCGTGGGGCTCAGAGGCTGGGGCCTCGTTTCATTTCTTGGTTGACTCGTTTTCCTCTTATCCATTTGTTTATTACATTTATTTATTTGTTTATTATTGAAAGTGGACTCTTCCCTCATAAAATACATTCCGACTACAGTTTCCCCTTGCCTCCCATCATCTCTTCATCTCTCTCTCCCTCAGACTCTGCTCTCCGTTCCATTTCAGAAAAGAGCAGGCCTCCAGGACACAACAACCAGACAGGAGGAAACAAGATCAAGAAGACAAGGTGCAATCCCGCATATCCAGGCTGGACAGGGTGACCCAGCAGGAGGAAAACAGCCCCAAGAACAAGCAAAAGAGTCGGAGACGCAAGCCTCTTGCACAGTTAGGAGTGCCGCAGAGACACGAAGCTAAGAGCCACGCCTCAAGGTAGACGTAGAGTCCCAGTGTAGACCATCCAGTTTCTCATTTTCCTCTTAAGAAACAGCAGGCTCCAGTGTTCAGTGGCGGGAGTAGATGGCTAACTAACACTACAGAGGTTCTTTTCTACTTCTGGGATGCTGTGGTTTGGAAGAGCTCAAGTGAGGTTGAAGTTAGCCACCCAATGACGTCCACTCTGATCGTGCATATCTTTGTGGCACTGAATTTGTGGGGGCACATGCCTTCAGTTTTAGCCCTCAGACGGCAGAGCTCTGTGAGTTCTGGAGCAGCTTGAGGCCAGCTAGGACTACAGAATGAGACCCAATTTTCAAAATCCTTTCCCCCCCCCCTTTTGAGCAGCTGGCACCAGCATTTGCTGGGTTCTCCATCTTATTTAAAAATATTCGCGACATTGCTAGTATCAAGCTTTTTGTTGCCTTTTCATTGTGTTCCCACGTGGTATTTTTTTTCCCTATAAACTTGTTACCTCTTTCATGAGTTATTGGTATAATGTTTTACCGACTTTGAAAGGCGGTGTCTGAAGTAGTGGTTTCCATTATGGCATTTTCATACACACATTGCTCTTATGGATTCCCCTCCCCCAGTGTACTCTTCTGGTCTGTTCTCTTCCTGGTGGTCTCTCCACCCCCACCACAAAGGCACCTTCTGCTTTCCTGTCAGATGTATTTCATTACTCCCCTTTTTCTTCTCTTCCCATGGTTCCATTACTACTTATGTCTCTCTCTCTCTCTCTCTCTCTCTCTCTCTCTCTCTCTCTCTCTCTCACACACACACACACACACACACACACACACACACACACACACACACACACCCCTCCACATGGACTATTCGTCTCTCTCGAGTCTGGCTTATTTCACTTAATAGAATGATTTCAAGTTGAATCTATTTTTGTTTTCTGCAAATGTCATGATTTCCTTTTCCTTTATGGGATGTATAAAATCCCCTATGTAGAACTGCTCTTTTACTGCTCTTCCTGCTTAGGATCGCTTTTGGTCTTTAGAGTCTTGGGCCTCCATATACATCTTAGTGTTGCTTTTTCCAGTTCTGTGAGGAACATCATGGGGATCTTGGTGGAGATTACACTGTGTGCTTTTGGTAATACAGGCATTCTCGTTGCATCAATTCTGTCAGTGTATGAGCCTAAGTGATGTCTCCAATCCCTAGTGTCTGCTCCAGAACCTTCAAGTTTTCATTGAACATGTTTCTGAATTCCTGAGTCAGTTGTATTTTTAGGTTGCCTCCCTGCCCCCCCCCCCGCCCATGCCCCAGGTAATTGAATGAGATTTTCCCCCTGATATTTCTTGTTAAGTTTTTTTTAAATACTATATAGTGAGGCTGCTACTTTTTAATGCTTATTTTGTATACTGCTAAACTGCTGAAAATGTATGACCACTCTAAGAGTTTTCTGGCAGTGTCTTCATGGTTAAGTAGTGTCTAAACAGGGATGATTCCTTCCCTGTTTGTATCTCTTCTCGTTCTTTCTCTCTTCCTATTGCTTTATGTAAGACTCTGAGCACTGCATTGGTAAGAGTGGAGACGAAAGTATAACCAACTGAGGTTCAATAACTTGACTGAATATTACTTACTGTCTTGCCAGGAATTCCTACCCCTGGTGGGCCTGTGTCCCCTGGGGAGCCATGGATACCCGGCAATCCCCTTTCACCCTGTGAAAGCAAGGGCTTCTGTTAGTATGAGGCTCGAGATGGATGCACTTTTCAGTTACATTTTCTTAATTATTAACTCCTTTAAAAATTAGCGATGAAATCTATATACCTTTGGTCCACGTGGACCAGGCGCTCCAGGATTTCCATCTAATCCCTAAAAGGAAAAAAAAATGTAAGATGGCCTCATGTCTTTTTCTAAATAATTAAAAAAATAGAAGTCATAATTCAAAAACATGATTCACTGGCCTTTATTTTACTTGAGTAAGACTCTTATTAAGAATAGAGAGAAAATTTTAGAAGGTTATAGATTTTGTATAATTAGTTCAAAATATAAGAGGTTTTTAATCTGCGAAATTAAACGTCTATCCTTCAGAATTATCACCATTAATAATTGCTATAAAAGGTAGGAAGAGGATGGGGGGGAAATGGGCAAATCCAAATGAACATATTGGTGATGTGGGATGTCCTTCTGTATGCTGTGAATATGTGTTGTTTTTATTGATTAAGGAATGAAGTGTTTTGGCCAATGGCCAGGCAGAATAGAGCCAGATGGGAATCCAAACAGATTTATGGAGAGGAAGAAGGCAGAATGAGGGAAACATCGCAACGCTGCTGGTGTGGAAGCAAGGTGTGGAATAACAAGCCACGGACCTTATGGTTAAAATATAGCATAAGAGAAATGGATTAATTTATAGGTAGAGCTAGCCAGTAAGAATCCTGAGCCATTGACCAAACAATTATAATCAATATGATGCATCTGAGTGGTTATTTGGGAACTGGCAGGCTGGAGAAAAACCTCCAACTACATACTGACTTTTGGGTTTTCTGGTGGTACAGTTTCCTATGACCTGAATAGTAGGGATCACATACACTTTCTATGAAAGATGGTCTGTGGTTATATCCCCAAACTCTGGAAATGTTGAGTATCTGGTTTAAGGCGGTATCCCAGGAAGTCTTGTGGCTCAGAACCAGTGTTTAAAGATTCATAGATCCCTGAGGAATCAGAACATAAGGTGCCTCGGCCTTTGAAATATCTCAGATCATCTTTAAAATGTTGCAGGTGTGTGCATCTTCTGTTGCATCGAACATTCAAATTGTTTTAGCTTTCTGAGCTAGGGTATAAAATGACGTGTGTGTGTGTGTGTGTGTGTGTGTGTGTGTGTGTGTGTGTGCTTAAAATTACACTTGTATCTTGAAACTGGGTACCTAGAATTAGCAGCCACTGAACTCTCAAGACAATCCTAGTAAAAGGGAGTTAGATACTTACTGGTTTTCCTGTCAGGCTTTTCCCTGGAGGCCCAGCATCACCCTTTGGACCTGGAAGTCCAGGAGGGCCTAGCCTTCCGCCAGAATCTCCCTGTGGAAAACAAGAGGAGCTTCTTTCTTTCTCTGCTGAGGTTCATGACCAGAAGTTGGGAGACAGTGGTTTCCATTGCTTTATATTGTCATAGCCAGTCAAACTTCATCGTTACGTTCACTATTGTACTCTGACCTATCAAGTGCCTAGCTCACTCCAGGAACTGCCCTTGTTTTAAACACATTCAGGTTCTGAAATGAGTTCTGTTACATAAAATTTAGCAGTGCAAAGAAACACAGACTTTGCATTAATACGGGCACAAAGGGCATGTCTGTTCATGAAGTTCATGATCTGAACGCCTTATTTTCTGGGGATGATGCAGTGTTGACATACTACCCTCACACACATCCAAACAGGCAGAGAGACTTCTGAGAATTCATAGCTTGACCTCAGCCCTAACATCTTCACTTCCAAGCTAGCTCATTTAGTCATCTGGAGTTTCTCTGCCATACCCATGGCTGCAATGATGCGTGACACCAGGGGCACCGTATCATAGTGTATATGAATGTCTGTCCCCTGCACTGACAGATCCTGGGAGGCTCAAGCCTCGTGCAAATCTTTTATTTCTCTGATGATGATAGGATCCTTGGTTTCTTCTTCCTATTTACTTACTTACTATTCAAAAGTCAAGTCTAAACTGTACCTTCTCTCCTTTAATGCCTTGTTTCCCTGGGATACCATGTTCTCCTGGCAATCCCTAGAAAATACAGAATTAAAGGAAAAGATCAGTTAGGACATCTCTTCATGTAATAGCATCCTACCTTTGCAAGAAGACTGAGTTTTAACATCTATCTATAAAGTAATGCTGACTTTGGCCTAAGGAGAAATGTTATTTGAAGATACGTAGCTTGTTGTCCCAAATGAAGTCAGCAGCTATAATGGGAAACGAAGAAGAACTGAAATGTTCCACCCATACAGTTGCTAAGAGGAGGATGGAGGGTGGTGGTTAATGGCTCCACAACCCAACTTAAGTGGTCAAGATAGTTTTATTATGTTTAGCCAGAGTGGCTCTTTTCCTTTTGATTTTATATTTATTTACTTTGTTCCTAGACAGTTCAGTCTAACTAGAATATTTTGTAGTTAATCTCATGTTATCAACATTTTCTCTCTCTTATGGTGTCTTTCCATGAGGGTATCATTGAAGTGGTCCAATTATTGGCTTGTAGGAAGAATAAAATAATTTTTTTTCTAGGCCAGTGGTGGTGGTGGTGGTGCACACCTTTAATCACAGCATTTGGGAGGCAGAAGCAGGAGGATTTTGGAATTCAAGGCCAGACTGGTCGACAAAGAGCGTTCCAGGACAGCCAAGGCTACACAGAAAACTCTGTCTCCAAAAACAAACGTAAATCTTTCCCAATGGATTGGGTTCAAATTAGCAAACACACTACGATCTAACCAATAGCCCCCAGGAGGCTGAAGCAGTGACCATGAGATCAGGGAAAGAAGTCATGGATGGCTCCTACGATGGTGGAAAGCGGAGAAATCTCAAGACTGCTCAACTAGAACCCTAGTCCTGGGCAGAGAGTCACTGAGAGCTGTAGCCAGGAATTTTCTCCATTTCTTTGGATATTTATGGTTTCCACTATTCTACAGTAGTATTGCTACTGACAATTCAGTTAACTTGAGTTTCAAAGATTGGGTTTTTTTTTTTTTTTTTTTTTTTTTTTTTTTTGGCTCCACTCCAAAGGACTTCCCAGTAGTAGCCCCTCCCCGCATCAGAAGTAATCAGTTGGTGTGGTGAACCCATGTTTTTGGGAAGCATAGCATAATCCAGCTCACTGCTGTCCTAATTTCAGTTTCATTTCAGAGCACTGAAGATGCTGTACATAAGACATCTCCTGGCCCCATGACACCTGCAGGTCCTTGTTTACCCTAAAGCAGAAGATGATATATACTTTAACTTTGCACTAAAATAGATTGTATCTCAATGTTGGTGAAATACCATCCCCTTTATAGGGGAGAGATTGGCTTTTTAGCATCCTGCCTTTTGTGTATAGTACTGGCATGTGCTTTGAGCTTCGCAAGGTAGTTCTGAGATGTTTCATTTAATGGGTCTGCTGTTTTTCAGCAGGTGATAACCTGTGTAACTGACCTGATGCATTGCCTGGGAGCAATTCCCTGAGAGTCCCTCTCCCCTGTCCCCCAGTTGGTTTTTATTGAGACATCCCTGTATAATTTTCTCTGGGAAACTCAAGTATCTCAGGGATGCATAATTTTATTGTAGAAACAGATCCCGAATTCTTTTCCTGTTAAGAATGTGGCACAGGGTCATTGATTTAACTGGCATTGTTTACTCTTAAAGCTTTTATGGATGCTGTTTGTGAATTTGCTCTGAAAAAGAAATTTAAAATCCTATTGTATACCAAAAGGCCTAGCTGCTGTTAGCTTCTATGTTTGTAATAATGCAGCCAGTGGTGGTGGTGGGTCACCATGGAAACAAGATAAAATCTCTGAGAACATCTGTGAAGAAAATGAGTGGCACACCTTTTTGAATACAGGATGGCTATAATTCCCACATTATTTCCCAATAGTGACTTCTTATACACCTTGATATAAGAAGTGCATACCTTTAGCCCTGGGCTTCCTGTTAAACCAGGTGGACCAACATCTCCAGGTTCTCCCTAAATGCATGAGAGGAAAGGAAAGTTAAATGTTACTATTATTTTCACCATCTCACTAATATTGCAACTGTGATTGGAAAATTCCAGAAGATTACCTTTATTCCCTGTGGTCCTAATAGGCCAGGTTCTCCCTGTGAATAAAATAGTTGCCATATGATTTATTCCTGAATCCAGATGGGGTTAGACATCTTGATACTCTAATTGACAGTCTATCAGTTAGCACACAATAAAGGGGGAGATTATGGAAGCTATGCAATCAAGCGATACTCAACCTTAAACTCATAGAGAATGGCTCTACTAGGAAGTGTGGTCTTGTTGGAGGAGGCTGGATAACACATACCTTTAATCCAGACCTAGAGGCTAGAGGGCACACCTTTAATCTGGGCCATGCCTTCTGTTGGCAGTGTGTCACTGTGGGGGCAGGCTTTGAGGTTGTTTTTCTCATGCATCACTCAGTGTGACAGTCAGTGAACTTCCAGTTGCCTCTGAGTCAAGATGCAGGACTGTCAGCTCCAGCACCACATCTGCCTGTATGCTGCGGAGCTCTCTACCATGATTGACTGAGCCAATCCCCTCAATTAAATGTTTTCTTTATAAGAGCTGTCTCTTCACAGAAATAGTGCACCCCAACTAAGACATCATGGCACGTTAACAATGACTCATTCACTACCAGATGATGGCCAACCTCAGACGAGAGGCAGGATGGAATAGGCTAAGTTTAAAGAGGTGTGTGTGCTGGTGACTCCACTCCTAGGTACTTAATGAAACAGAAAATAAAAAAAAAAAAGATTATGTAACATAGTACAATATTTTCTTATTTTCCATGACTCACTTGAAAGTCCAATTTGTGTCTTTAACAAAAATTTTGAAAACCCGTATTGCATGTTTTAGTTTTGTGTTTTAGATATTCTCCTTTCTTTTTCTTTTCCGTTTTTTTTTTTTTTTTTTTCCTCCAAGACAGCATTTCTGCCTTGGCTGTTCTGGAACTCACACTGTAGATCAGGCTGGCTTTGGCCTCGAGCTCTTTCTGCCTGCCTCTGCCTCCTGATGCTGGGATTAAAGGCGTGTACCACCACTACCTGGTAGTCCAGTTATTCTTACTTGATGACTTTTATGACATTGAGGCCTAACCACTGATAGCAGTAGGCTAAAGAAAAGAAGAATAAGACTGGCCAGATGGCTCAGAGAGTTAAGGCAGTTGCTGCTGATCCTGAATACATGAGTTCAGTCCTCAGGGACCACATGGTGGAAGGAGAGGGCAGGCTCACACAGGTTGTCTTCAGTCCATCATATACATGCAAAGGCATGCATACAAAATATGGCATGCACATACCATCCCCCCAAAATAAAAATACAAAAGAAAGCCCATATAACCCAAACCAAAAGTTAAAGTGTTATCACAAGGTAGCATTTAACAAGGATTAAAGATAACAGTAAGAAACAGCAGAAGAAAATACAAGTTTCAGGAAACTTACTCTATCAAATCGATTAGGTGTCAAACAACAAACTGGAGAGAGAAATCAATGAAATAGAATACCCAAGAAAGCACTAAGCATCTACTTACTCTATCTCCCTTTTCACCTTTTGTGAACGGTTCCCCCTAGGAAAATGGGTAGAAACCAGAATCAATTATAAACATTTAGAAATCAACTCTGGCAGGGGTTAAGTGAGAAGGAATTTACAGATTCCTTCATATTCCCGAATGAGCATGGAGTTAATCATTTAAATACTACTTAGAGGCTCCCAACAGCAGCCAAATTGAAATGCTGCCCAAGGCTAAAGCTTCCTATTATGAAATGAAAATGAATACGCATGCATTCATCTGCAAGTGGCAGGAAATGGGTACCGGGGACTGTTAAATGGTAGGTGTCCACTTGAATTTCCCACCTAGGTTAGCTGTGTATTTAGACACACCAGACGGAGGCAATATTTCAAGTATGCTCTTTGAAGTGCCAGTTGTACTCAAATCAAAATGGCTCGAAGGGGTTAATTACTGGGTAAACAATAGCACAAATGGGTGGAACTGATGTGGGTGGTAATGGGGTTAGGATGGAGGTCCCATGGAGAGGAAGATGTGAAGGATCACCTCCACTCCTGATGTTCTTCTTGCTGACACACACTCCATAGTTAATCTCCACATATCATGAGAAGTTGCTGTTATTATAGCTATATGAAGTTGAAAAACCTGAGGCACGGGTTGCCCACAGTTCTTCAGGCTCCCTTCCTCTTCAGTGGTGACTGAGAAGTTTGCAAGTGCCCAAGGATAAGCCATAGGATTTGAATCAGCTTGACTGCATGTGGTGGCCATCAAACAATGACCTCTTCCAAATGAACCAAGATGCCCTCTAGCTTTAGCGGGGCTAACTTTTCTTGGCCTAAAGACACATATCTGTTACTTGGTGTAACCACACAAGCTGTTTTCTACCTAACTCGATGCCATCTTTTATTATGGGTTAATTTTTACATGTTAGATCAGGGCCTTATATTTATAGTCTTGCTTTTCACATTTTCATTCTTAGCTTACGTGTTTAACTACTAAGGTTTAGGCATGCACGGTGGGCTACATTGCTTCTACTTGTTCCTACTTAACTTGTGTCACTCTTGTGAGGGTCACCGCAAGCTTGAAATCTACACTGAATCCCCCCCACTGGCTGGGGATTGATCCAGGCCAGGACTTCAACATGGAGGTGTATCCTCAGGACTCTCATTTTATTTTGGAGTTTTGAGATTAGTTTTCACTAAGTTGCCCAGTTAGGACTTGAACTCACTCTGTATCCTAGGAGAGCTTTCAACTGGAGATCCTCCTGCCTTATCCCCCTAAAACAGCTGGGAGAACAGGCCTGCCCCTCCAGGCCTGGTTCAAAGTCTACATTGCCTGATGTAGTTTGTAGGAATCTGATCTACCACAGGTTTGCAATTTAGTCTCATCTCCCCCGAATCCTACCTAGGGGTAGCCATTTGAAGTTTTAGAGCCCCCTTTCCTTATCTGTACAATCGTAAATTCCACCTAGATCCATATTTTATAGCTCTGATATATCACACATGTCATCATTTTCTAAATACCCAAAACTGGGTAGGGGGTGGGCAAATGTGGCCATTTTGATGTTGCTGTTCAAGACAGTGGTTCAAAATTCTACTTCAGATGGTGACTACTCTTCTCCATGAGCTGCGTGGTTATTGTGCCAAGTCTAGTATAGATCCTGCTCTTGAAGAAACAACAAAGAACTAATTGTTTTGCCTAATGATGTAATACTTATGGGAAGACAAGAAAGCAAGCAACAATGTACAGAGGAAGCAGTCATCAAGGGGGTAAGAGTGGACTGCCCAGGATAGAAGTTTTTTTTATATTTTATTTTTATTTTATGAGTATGGTTATTTTGCCTGCATGGGTGTCTGTGCATCATCTGTGTGCCTAGTGCCCACGGTGGTCACAATGCATTACCAGATCCCTTGGAACTATAGTTACAGTTGGTTGTGACCCACTATATGAGCTCTGGGAACTGAACCCCGGTCCTTGGAAAGAGCAGCCAGTGCTTAGATCCTCTGAGCCGTCTTTCCAGGCCAAGAATTTCATTTCTACTGAACAAAAAGAACAGGGCTAAGACCGGTCCACTGGGCAGCTGGGCTTCCATGAACATTTGAAGGCAGGAGGGAAAGCCAGAGGGAACCCTTAAGAGGACAAAGGCCCCTTACCCCCAGGAACCATGCATCGAACCAGCCCTCAGTGATGCTGGAGCAAATCATTAGTGTCGCTTGTGGGAAACATAGGCTTCAGGGCTCCACACTGAACCCCTGAACTAGAATTCCCAGGTGTTGAGTCCATGCGCATGTTCACAGTGCACAGCTGTTGCTAATAGAATATTTTTTTTTCTGCTTCTTGTCTTACTGGTCAGATCTTCCATGGTCCACCTAGGAACCTAAATTGAGCTGGGAATTACTGGGTAGGCAGACAGTGGAGAGCCCTGGGAGAGCTTCTGAGATGCTCAGAGTGGTTGCACAGGAGTGGTGAGCTGTGGGAAGGGTCACATGACAGTCCCCAGACCCTTTGAAAGCCTCAGCCGGAGGACACTGAAAAAGGCTGTTAGGGAGGCCTGGACGGGGGGACACTGAGGATAAGTGACCAGAAGGTCAGTAACCAGGGTCCATGGAGGCGATGGTGATTTCACAGCTGCCAGAAACAATGATTAGGACAATGAAGATGTCTAATTGAAGCTGAGCAGAGGTGGAGCTCGGCTGGGAAGCACTGAGTGCTTTTCTTATCTCTTCCCTTTGTCACGAAGGTATTTTAGTGACTTCTCCGTTCCTCCTGCCCATCAACCTATATCCCTAACTCACACTGGGACATGGGTGAAGCAATTTAACAAAGTGTGCTGCACATGACAAAAAAGACAAGCCATATGCTATCCCCGACTTTTTCACAAGAATGAAGACATGTGTTTTACAGAACTCATGTCAAAGCAGAGCAATGGCAATGCATGCTTACCATCCTGGGGCCGGGGAGGCACAGGAACAGGATTACTGAACAGACGCGTGCAGGCACACACGTGCGTGCGCACACAGACACACACACACACGCACGCACGCACGTGCGCACACACACACACACACACACACACACAGTATCTTTTTTTTTTTTTTTTTGGTAACTAGGCTTTTGCATTCTCTTCATTGGTTCTATTTGAATATACATGATGATGTGATAGGGTTTTTCTTTCCTATTTTCTTTTTTTTTCCCCACCCAAAGAAAAGTTTCCAAAGAAACGAGCTGCAGCAATATTGGAAGGTGGCTTGTGAAGTTACTTTGATCTCACAAAAAAGAAAATAAGAATCAGAAGGGAAAATAATTTCAGAGGTGTACTGAGAGCAATTGTTTGAGCAGAGGGAGAAGCATTTTCAATTTTTAAGATAAATTTGTACCAGTCTTGATATATTGATTGATTTTTTTCATTTTAGGTATGGTGTTTGGTCCTATCTAGGCAACTTCATGGTTTGAAAGCTTGGGTTCTAGAACCAGCCTATGTATGGAATGGGCTACCTCAAGGGCCTTTTTATACGAGTTAAGGGAGTTAATATATAGAAGGTTTGGTGCCTGGCATGGTGTGTACCTGCTTAAGACTCTGATCTACAATGCTGTTCACAGTGTTAGAATTGAAATGTCATGGAATTGGAGCTGGGAAAATACTTTTAATTCTTCATCTATTTTTTTTTTTCTTTCTCCCTGCCCTCAAAGATAAAATACTTACAGGTTCTCCTTTCTGTCCTTTAGGGCCAACAGACCCTGGAAATCCTGGCAGCCCAGAGTCACCCTGTCGAGAAAAATCAGAAGAGAGATGCCTCATGAATGAAGAGAAAAGCTTCTTCTACCCACAGAATCCTGTCTGGGTCCAGGGCCTCCATGAAGCTCTGAACATAGTCAGGCTGTCTGCCTAAGATGGTGTCTTTGTATCCCACCATGCCTTAGGTCTTTCAGGAATCCATAACATTTCATTAGCACATTTAAAATCAATGTGGAACAATGGGAATTATTTTTCAAGGACAGGACATGGAGAGGAGAAAAGAATTACAGTTTTGTCCTGGAGTACCCAAAACTTTATTTATTTAGTTTTGCATTTAAATGACACAACAATCTGCTCTTGTTTTCTTTTAAGGACTTCTTTCTTATTTTAGGTGGGAAGACTCAGTGATCACAGAAGGAAAAATGAGTCTGCCAGCTGTCCTCAGCATTTCCCGAGCTGTGTAGATGACTGGCTGTGGACAAAGAAGTCATTCTTGTTGATATGGTGACAGCAGCAGCTTAGAAATGTCTAAGATGTTCTGGTACAAAATGTTGAAGAGGGATTTGTATGTGATATGGAAAGAGTATTTTCAGAAAATACGGTTGGAGAGAGCATCCTTATAGGAGGAAATTACATCACTGAGCACACATTGGAGCCGCAGGACCCAACTTCTGTGTTAGCATTTACTAGCACCCCTGAATAGTCACTTAATTCTTCAGTTAGACATAGCCCCAGATGACATGTCATTTTGAAAAATTTTCCCCCAACCTCAAGTGAAGTTTTGTAAAACAATGTTTATTGTTGCACTTATAGATATATGGCTTTTAAAAAAATCTTTTTAACTTTCAAAGATATAGAAGACAAAATAAAATATGCCAAGTCTTTCGATATTAAATACTCAAAATGAAAGAAATTTAAGAAAATCATGGACAAGATGTTCTCCACGTTTCCCTTTGTCTTCATATCCCAGAGCAAACAACTCTTTGGATTCAGTATTTACCTCTCAGTGGATATTTTTTATTTTCACTCTCTCTATGGAATCATAAATATTATTTTGAACATGAAGGATGAGTTCTTGTATACAACTTTCTTCCCTCAACATTGTTTTTATACCTGTCATTTGATCTATGGGATTTTGTTTTTTCATTGTAACTGATGGTCAGCACTCCAATGTACTGAGGTACACTGGACCAGTGTTGGAGCTGTTTCTAGCTTTTGTTTGTTACACACAAGTCTTCAGTGAACATTTTTATTTTGAGAATGTGACTACGTCTTTGCAACAAAATCTTCACACAACAGACCGTCGAATTATTATGGCCCCAAAAACCTTTGGCTTATTTATACATTTCTACCAAAATCAATATGTTGGCATTTTACCTAATGGATAAACTATCCATTTTTGTATTAACTATCTTCCTTGATTTGTAAGCATAATATTGATTTTGTTAAAAATTTGAAGCCACAGTACTATTTTTTCTTGCTTCAACGCTTCAGCCAGTCTTGTGAAATTCTTGTCTGAGAAAACCGAAAGCACAACAATTAAAGTCAGCTCACATCTCGTTCACTTACACAAGGGTTAGCTCAAGGCCTTCTAGACAGTCAATTTGCAGGCTAATGATATGTGTATTTTATACCTATATGTTCTATAGTTCACTCGTGTGCAGACTGCATCATGTCTGCATATGACCTACACATTCCTAGCCTTTACTCTAGATTACTTTGAGCTTTAATCTTGAAAAATAGTAACTTCTTTGAAGCAATGGTTATAAAATTTAAAATATGCTGGATAATTGTTTGTTTGTTTATCCATTCATTCACTTATTGTATGTGTGTGCCTGCTTGTCTGTAGTTCAGCACATGTGTGAAGGTACCCAACAAGGCCGGAAGAAGATGCCATCCATGTGCCTTGGAGAGAGAGTTAGAGGCAGTTGTGACCTGCCCATTGTAAGTGATGGAAACCAACTCTGACTCCTTAGTAGGGGCAGTATATGTCCTTAGCTGTTGTTGAGCCATCTCTCCAGCCTTGATATATGATTTATCCTAGCAAAAATACATCTTGTGTATCCCCAGCAGTATTTAGCACACTGTAGGTGGTATGTGTTTTCCTAAATATAGTAAATCGTGTCCAATGTAGGAAGGCAGAGAAGGCAGAGAACACTTAAGGCACCAGTGCATAATTGATTTGTAAAACTCTAAATTGACCTATCAGGTTCGTGCTAACATCCCCAATGTACAGTCATAAGGGAATAATACACCTGAAAATTAGACTCATCTAATTTAACAGAAATGATCAAGTGAAGAGACTAGGAATCACTTATAAACAAAAGTAATAGAGGATGGGTAGAAGAATGAGGGCCAGGCGGAGGGGATATGATGCTATGAGGTTTCAGCTGAGGTAGGCAGAGTGCCAATGGAGTACATTCAGCAGAGGGGCTGAACAAAGCCTGTGGGTTGCATTCCCTGGGTGGGTTCGGCCTTGGTTAAAACAATATGAACTCATCTTGCATGTGAAATTATGCAAATGTTTATGTCTAATATTAGACACACGTGGGTTCCTTTTCATGTTTAAACTGCATTGCACTGACTTATCATGGCAGATATGAGTTGAAAAGCAGCGATGAATTTGAAGAGCATCAGAAGACCATTTTTCAGCCTGACAGTTTTGATGCTGTTTACAAAGCCACGTGTTATTGAACCTCCATCTTGTTTGCCTAACATTCTGCTCCAGGAGAAAACTGATGTTTCCCCCAGAAGTCCTTATTCTCACTGACTATTGTGTAGATACATGACCTTTCCCCCAAATCCTTTCGGACTCGGGTGATTTGCTCACACTGTTGCTTCCAGGCGATGCTGTTTTCCAAATGATAGTCTGTTTTCCATAATTCCAAATCGCTGGTGAGTACATTGAGAAGAGGCATATTATACATCAGTGGCAAATCATTCATGTGTTTAAAGTATACTTTTAGTTAAATCTTTTATTATACAACCCGACTCGAGGCTCCTCCCTTCGAAATTACAGTGAAGGATGCAAAGAGGAGCAAGTCAAGACACTAAGGATGATAATAGCTCATAGCAAAAATGAGCTAAATGATACCTCATGGGCAGAAGGCACAAAGCCTAATTTGCACCAGAAATTGTGCTTCCAGGTAAGTTCATCTCATTAGATTTTAATCCTCCCATCAATTCTCCCTGTAGACGATTATGCCCATTGCGCATACCGGAAACTGATGCTTAGGGCAATGAGGTGGCACATCAGTTAGTGCCGTAGCCAACTTTTGATCCCAAAGCTGATGCCCATCCCATCCTGCTGTGGTTTCCAGCCAGAATCATCTCACACAAGTGTAAGCAACACAGATTCCAGTCCTCCTCTACTCCGGGTCCCTGTGCATGGGAGCTCAGAATAGGCATTTATTTCCCTTACACTCTCCTGGTGCTTCTAGGTGCAATCAGGGTTTGGAAGCCCTGAACACAATTTTTGCAAAGCCTAGAGATAGATCCAGAATAGGCAGGAAGTGGACATGCACACAGGGTTGACTTCCTTCCCCCAGAAGATGCTACACTTGGGCTTCCTGTGTTTACTTGATGCAGGGTTTATTGTTTCTTTATTAATGGTAATTTAAAAAAAAAACCTTTCAAAGGTACATTGCTATCAGGTACAGTGTCAGGTTCCCTGGAGACTCTTCTAGATCAGCTATTTGGGTAGGAAGATGGGGCAAATATGCCACCGGCTTTTTCTGACTCCACTTAAGATTCTGAAGCAATTAGAAAAGGTTCCAAGCTGTAGGAATGGTCCCTGGAGTTGGAGATACACCTGTTTTCTTCCAGAATCAAATTTCTCATCAGCGAGGTCTTAAGAATTTCTAAGTGACATATGTTTGCTAACGAAGAGGACGGCACAGAAGCCAGCTGTTTTGTTTCAAGAAATGAATCATCATTTAAATGCTTTAAGAGTGTCACACTCCCCTTCTCCACTCAGCTGTCCCTTGTGACAAGCTTTGTGCCCCGTTGCCTCCCCCCCCCCTTCGTGGCTTACATATGTCCAATAGTAGTTACGTAAACTGCAGTGCATTTGTGAGGATGGGATGGCTCTACAAGCTGTTGGTTCACAGGAAATAATGTCATTCAGAAATCAAAGACACAGGAGTGACTCGGATTGCTATAGAATCATTTTAAAATCTTTTTTTCCAGAGTGTCCATGTTTTATTTATATATTCTGCAGAATTTTCCTTTTGAGTGGTCAGGCTATAAGGAACTCACAGTTCCTGCTGAGATCTCTTAGAGATATTTTCCGATGGGAGATACACAATCTTTTGAGTAGATTGGCTGTGCTGATTGATTTATAAAGTCATATTTCCTGGACTCCATGTCACAGTATCGTGCCCTCAATCAAGAGAACTTCTACTGGGTGAATGACTGAATGGATGAATGTAGTTCTCACAGGCTATCTGCCTGCAGAGCGTTTTCAAACCTTCATATCCCCTTCTGCAGATTTAATGTGCATTTTAAAAATATTTTTTAAAAAAATTTCTCTGACCATATTCACTGTGTTCACATTCACAGTCCAAGGTCATCACAGTTTCACGGTCAAACTGGAGTGGAGTGATATTTTCTGTAGAGAAGTTAATCTACCATCTTCACAAACCATAAAACCAGACTTCCAAGTGAGAGTTATGAAAATGCAATGGAAGCACACTGGTGTTTTAACTTGAAAACTTTTTTTTTTTTTAGTAATTGCTTGGCTAGACTACCACCGGGCATGATAAAACCTCGCCAAAACAAAACAAAATAATCCCATGGCAGAGCCTCTGTTATAAGAACAGAAAACCAGTGAGCATGAGCCACAGGCATTTTGCCATTTGGATCTTCCTTCGGATGGTTTTGGCTGCCTGCAAGGTGTTTCTCTCCACACATCCCCTCCCTTATAGCCCACCTCTGTTCAGTAGCGCCCCCAAGGGGCAGCATCCGGCGGCTGGTCAGCAGGCAGGTGAGGCACCTGCTCTCAATGAAGGCTGCTCCCTGTAGGTGAAAGTATTTAATCA